GCTAGCGTCCATGCTAAAAAACTAACCACCTACTGGGATAACATCAGTAATGACACAACAGCAACGTCAAGTCGACCAGTGTGTTACATAGGTATAGCAATTACACTGGAATGATTGCTAACATTAACAAGAAGAGTTTAAAGTGCTATAGCTGACGAAGTTGGATAAGGGTTTGAGCGTTTGTTGTTCTGTGTTGAGACTATTTGTTGGTCTGTGTTAAAAATGCTCACTTCAAAATGGCAAATGTATGGTAAATTAAAGGAAACTTACTTAAGCTTAACAGAATAATATGCTATTTCATTTTTTTTTTTTATTAACCGTTTTGATTTTTATCACAGTAGTACAAAGGTGATATTCCACAACAAGATATTCTACAATTCAGTATACTTAGATTTCGCTTTTGGGCTCAGAGGACGTTAGTCCCTGCCTGCCTGCTTTAAGGCCCACATTACATTATCTTAGTGATAATGGGACACAGTGACTGTGTAAAATAAACCTTGGCCAGTAGAGGGAACTGTTAGACTAGTGAATGCAAAGAGCGGCCAGCAATATTATAGAGAGGACCTCCAGTTTCTGCTAGTCCAGTAATTCTCAACTCCCTGCTCTGCCTATTTTAGCTTTTTTCCTGTTCCCAACACACCTGATCCAGCTAATCAGCTCATTAACAGCCCATAACTGTGGCTGTGTTAAAGCAGGGAAAGCACTAAAATGTGCGGTGGGCCTTCAGGACCAGGGTTGAGAAACACTGTGCTAGTCTTTCTGACTAGGCTAGTGCTAAGTAAGCTGCTGTTGAAGCTTCTGAGTTGAGTTGAGTCTGAAAATGTCCGTATCTGCATTTTACATTCCTTCTGGCCTATATGTTCTTGCCTGACCACAAATCTGAAGACATTGTTTAAATCAATCGAAACATATAGCTTAAAATTAAGTTTATAGGCTTCTACGTTTGGTGTTTAGTGTCACAAGGGATCGATACAGTAAAAAAACTGTCCTAAACATTTATTACAATTGTCTAGAAGCTGTTTAAAAGGAAATACATTAAAACATTTTGTCTGGATGAGGAATCACATCTCTCTCTTTTGCGTTCAGTCTTTTCCATCATTGCTTTCTAAACACTGTTGATGCAGATTATGTTAATTACATTTAATAATTATATATGTAATTTATATGTTGTTTTTTTTCACAAAGCAGTGACTGTGGCATGGGATGTCAAGTAAGTAGCCAGGTTACAACATGAAACTACTCATAGTCTATATTGAGACTTTTATTGTGAACGCTAAGCTGTTGGGAATCTCAAAAGATTTTGGATACTAAGTTAAAGAGCTACAGTTTCACCAAGCGATATCACTAAAGTTAATAGTTTAGCAAACTAGGTAGGTTCTGATACAAACATAATGGTTGCACCACCTTATATCAGGATATTTGCAGGCAATGTAGCTAAGTTTGGTGCTTAGCAATCTTTTGCAAGTGATCTTTAATAAACAGGACCTTACTGACTGAAACAGCCAGAGGCATCTTAAATTTGGAAATGTATTAGGAAAATTGTTATCTTACATGCACATTTTCACAAGAGATACAGTAATATGCAATGAGTCTTACCAGTTACTGTCATGGTGCTGCTTCTAACTGGATTGTCATTGTTAAAATTTCATAAACCCAGTGTACAACCCAGTGGGTAGCACTGTCACTTTACAGCGAGAAGGGTCTGGGTTTAATTCCCTGGCCAGACAACCAGGGTCCTTTCTCCATGTGTCTGCTTTGGTTTCCTCCCACAGTCCAAAGACATGCAGTCATTGGAGTTGGAGATTACCTGTGTGTCTGCCCTGTGATAGATGGGTGTTTCCCCAGGGTGGATGAAGTACACAAATCACGTACTTGAGTTAAAGTAGAGATACCCAAGGTAAAATATTACTCCAGTAAAAGTAGAAGTTCCTCTCTTTAGACCTCCACTTGAGTAAAAGTACAGAAGTATTTGCCTTCAAATGTACAGTAAAGTATGTAAAGTATCAAAAGTGAAAGTACTAAAAGATTAATTATGGCTCTAATGTCCTATTAGCATTTTTGTAAGAGGACTCTTGCTTCATTTGTCTTTTAATAGAAAGTCATTAATTAGTGACGTTGATGTCTGTTAAAATGATCATAAGAACAAAACACTGAAGGCAAACAGTTTCCATCAGGTAGAACTGAGTGGCTCTGAAATCACTTTTTGTGAACAAGCAAAGTTTCAGTTTAAGATTTATTTACAACTTAGTTACAGTTTAAGTTTAATAAAAACTTTAAACTCAGGTTCACAAATGAGTTTCCTTTACTAAACTGCATCTGTAGGTCTCTGTTCATAAACATAAACTAGACAAAACTAATTTACTATAAAATGAAATAGTGTTTGTATAAATTCAGAAAAAAGACACGTCAGTCACAACTGCATATGAGTACATATTTCTATATTGTGGTCTATTTACACAAAGTTATGTTGAATAGACTCTCCCAAAATTTTACGCTGACGTTGAACCGTGTGCTGCACTGGGTCGATATGTCTAACATGTCAAAACAAACTAAAAACAAAGTGTGCGCTGTTCCCCTGATTGGTGTTCTTGCTTTGTGCTTCTTTCACTTTGACGTTAAGTTTTTATACACACATAAACCAAAAGGAATGACAGATTTCGCATAATGTAGTGGAGTAAAAAGTGAGATATCTGATTTTGAAATGTAGTGGAGTGAAAATAAAAAGTCACCCAAAATGGAAAAACTTCAGTAAAGTACAGATACACAAAAAAAAAAATACAGTACAGTAATGAAATACATTTACTTCGTTACTGTCCACCACTGGTGTTTCCTGCCTTCCGCCCAATAACTACTTGGATAGACCCCCTGCGACCCAAGAGGGTAAGTGGCTTAGATAGCGTGAGTGTAACTCAGCAGTTTGGTTTAAGAAAATAGCCCAGTTTTTTTACAGTGTGTATCTCAAGCTATGCTCCCTTTCTATTTACACTTGATGATACAATGATACTAAGAATTATTTGCTGAATATGAATCTTCAGTCTTCCTAGCAGTAGCATGTGCTGTGCTGAGAAAACGAGTGTATCTGTCTGTAAGAAAAGGCTCAATCCTGTTTAAATAGCAGTTTTATGCAGAAGCTCCATAGAACCTCATTCACTTTGTTCTCTCATTAGTGCAGTTCTCAGTAGAAATGATCTGCTACAGCCTGAATTCTCTTTATCAGGATGTGCTTATGTGTTAGTTGCATTCTGAATGGTGCATTAAAATGGCCATTTTGCTTCCACAGAGTAATAACGAATAGGATATGTTAGCTGATGAACATGTTGCTGGAAAATGGCCAGAAATTGTTAATTGTTCACTGTATTCAATGCAAAATGATGTGTTACTGTTTCTGCAACTAATATTACTTCATCCCTACTTCACAACCTGGCATTGAAAAGCTTCACTCTAGTCTCATAGTCTTTCAAATGTTCGTCCCACCTTCAAGATATATCATCAGAAGGGGCTCTTCACAATACTCAAACTGAGGAATGTCGAAGAAGTGAGTTGACATGTTTACAGCAGATGTATAAGACATTTTCCATGAATAGAGGAAAATGAATTTTGTGCCTCAAAACTCTTTAAATATTTACTTTTTTCTTTGGAGATTTCGACAAAAGTATTAATCAAAGTAAGTACTTAACCTTCCTACCTCAGGTTGTCCAATCAGTCACTATATGACTATATGACTATGTTTTTTTCTGAAATGTACAGCATTTCGTGCATTCTGTACATGCAACCTGGTTACCAATTTTAGGGAGATGTATAAATGGCATTTAAAGGCCTGCATCAATTAAATTCTTTATTTTGTAGCAAGAAATACATATATTTATTAAATACGTTTAGAACTTTTCAAATAAATAATAAACATTCAACGTTCTCTTGTGTTTTCTATATTTTTTATATATGTTACTTCAAAGCCTTGGGTTTTTTTTTCTTTCTAAACAAAAAATTGTACTATTTTTCTTGTATTAGTAATTTTAACTAATGACTCTTGTCACCAAATTGACACTTCTGGTAACATAACCAACTGGTGTCTGTGTTCAACCCTGTTATGCAGGTTTCAATCCTGTTATTCAGTCATTTTTGGTGAAATCTGCATAATAGGGTTGAACACAGAGATCATACTTCCCATTAAGTTGATATTAATGCAGAAAAAACATAAAGTGTACAACATAAAGCAGAAGAGAAAGTTGACAATGTGTTTTAATCTAAATAATTTCATTTTCATTGAAAATAACTGAATGAGTGCAGATGCTGTATGCTAACTACAAATAACCATGTAGTTTACATAAATGAAATAAATATAAATATAAGTTGTTTTTTTAAACAATAATTTTGGTAGAAGGGTTGAATGGGCAAGCTTTACTCTTGCAGCCAGACCAGTTTTTTTGTGTATAAATAGAGGAAATAGAATGAGAATACTGACTTGTCTGATAATGCAGCAACTTTGAGTATATATATATAAATATATAAATATATATATATATATATCAAAATAAATAGAATGTTGCGTGACATATGTGTGACATAGGTTAAAATGACTTTTATTAAATTAAATAAATTAATAGTAAATAAATAAATGAATCATAACAGTGTAACTGGTGTAAATGGAAGACTTTAATGAGTACATTTCAGAAAGAGGCTCCATGTCAGTGAAGTGGAACTTTTAGTACTTCTCAGCTCCTCTATCAGAGCTTCTTCTTTATTAAGAAACCATATTAGAGCTGGACACAGACATTTTAAGTGTTTAGTGATCATTTAAATTCGAATTTCCAGCTCTACTATTAGAAAAGTGTAATAAGTATTTTTATTATTATTATTTTGTCCAGAGGGTCCTTTTAAATAAGTTTGCGTAGAAGTTCTTTGGTGGGACCCAATATGACCTGAAAGTCTGCGTTTGTGATGAAATCACGTGACTGACTGTGAGGGCGGAGCCTGGATGTGACGCTAAGGTCGTATAATTCACTTTACAGTATGAACCAGTTAAACGTAGGAGGCTTAGTCCAGCACGAGCTGAACTCTGACACGGTTTGTTTTGATTTGTTTTGGTTATTTTTGATTTCTTCAGTCCAGTCTGTCTCCTCAGCTCCTCTATCAGAGCTCTTTCTTATTAATCGAGTTTAATCGGCTCTAAATCGGCTCAGTGCGGGTCAGATTACCTCGCAGCTCAGATCTGACCGCGCGTGCTGAGGAGACTGTCCGTCCGTCAGTGGTGATGGCTGCGCGCGCTCTGAGCTGCACTCTGACTCTGTTGGTGTGTTCAGGTAAGACTTCGTCTCACTTTCTGCTCTCAGCGCTTCAGTTCTGGATGGAAAAAATTGTCCAAACAAACAAAAAATGTCCTAATTTAATTAATTAATTTATTTAAGTTTCACTTGCATTATGAAGCGCTGTGTTTATCTTATTGATTTAACACAGAATATTTCCAGCTTTCCATCCAGCTGTCGAATTAAAGGGGAATTCCACCATTTTTTCTAAAATTCTGCATAATTAAATGGTTAAGATGTAAACAGAGTCATTCAGAGTGGTTTGGTGTGAAACGCTCTGTTCTAGAGAAACTTACAGAGTCAGAATTGGTCACAGTGGTGGTGATAGGAACATCTGAGACATTGTTTTATGATTGTTTTGAGATCAGCTTTTTGCCCAAACTGTTTTTAAAGCTAATAAAATTCATGGTGGAGAGGCACATCGCTGTTGTTGGAAGAAAACCTGTATCTCCAAAATGGTAACTTTACAGGAGAAGGAAAAAACAGACTTTACTTTTAATGTAAGTCAATGGAACCAGACTTTTTTCCAAGAAATTTTGGGCTGTTTCTTTAAGTCCATTCATCATGAAACTTGCATATGTCAAAAATGGAGATACAAGGTTTTCTTCCACCAACAGTGATATGCTAGGTGATATAAGGTCCCAAAACATCACTTAATTTTTTCAGATTTATGGCTATTTTACCATCATCAACATTCCATATAAAGACATGCTTAGGTTTACTGGTGGTTTTGGATAGTAAATAAAATGGCTATGTTTGTGTTGTATATCACCACCACTGCAAAGACATCTGAGTCTGTAAGTTTCTCTAGAACTGAGCATTTTACATCAAACCAGAAGGATCTGAAGGATTTTGTTTACATCAACAATTAAATTATGTAGATATTTTAAACAATCAGTTGAGTGTGCATTTCCATCAGCTCTGTATCAGAGAATAAAACTCTCTACTGTAATAAAATATCTTCCTAAAAATGACAGAAATCAGTTTCTGAGCAGAATCTTGGTGCTGTCTTGTTTAATTTTATGACTGTATTTTACATCGTAAGGGTGCTGAAACAGAAACAGGCTGGCTAACGGCTCAGAAGGCCGTACATTAATCAGCTGCAGCACCTTGAGTTGTCTAATATCACTGTTATTTGATAAGATAGAGGGTAAGGTTTCATTTCCTAATCAGTTCACAGGCTCCTGCTACCTTTTCTTAAAGGTTATATATAAGGTAAATGAAGATGCATGCCTGTTCAAGTTAATGGAGCAAAAAATTATACAAGTATTCAGACTTTTTAGCAAATTTTATTAAATATTTCTTTTTTAATTGATGTGCCAAAATACAGTAAAAAATGCATGCATGAAAACCTGAAGTTCAGTATAGAGCTTAGGTTATCCATGCAATACAGACAATTAGAACACACACACACACACACACACACACACACACACACACACACACACACACACACACATCATCTAAACCCGCTTATCCTTCTGGGTCATGGCAGGGTGCTGGACCCTATCCCAGCTGTGTTATTATTATTATTATTATCATTATCATTATTATTATTATTATTATTATTATTATTATTATTAGTAGTAGTAGTAGTACTAATATAATTTTTAATTAATATATTTTACTTGCAATAATAATAATAATTATTGTTATTATTATAACAACAGCATTACTAACTATAGTAATTATAATAAAAGATAAATAATAATTATAACAATAGCAAAAATATTATTCAAATTATTTTTGATTGTTTTTAATTATTATTATAGTAATGTTTTTTTGCTTGTGTGTATTTTCTGTTAATTGGTTGCTGAATTGCTCTTGTATGAAATTTTATGGCTTTTCAATCTCTGAGGAGAATAACATAATGAATTCTCTTTACTGTTGAAATCCAGAAAGAGTTGTTTTCAGTACTGTAAACACAGCTTTCTAATTGTGTTTATGTCTTCACAGGAGTGTGTTTGAGTCAGGATCTGTTATTACCCACCAGCCTGAATGGAGCAGTTGGGGGGAACGTGACGTTTGACCCAATCACAATTCCTCCTCCACCACGTGATCCAATCAGCTGGAGTTTTGGTGGATCAACCATTATTACTGCAGTTGGTGGTACAGTTACAGTATGGCCTTTATACACTGGCAGAGCCAGCATGGACATAAACACTCTGGCTCTGGTGCTCAGTAATCTGAGTATGGCAGACGCTGGAGGATATACTCTGACTGTGAATGCCAGGAGTAAACAAACTACACTGGCAGTGTTTGGTGAGTAAACAGAAACATGTCTCTGACAGTCCTGCTGCTGGAGTTTGTTCTTTAATATTTTAGAGTTCTCCCACTGGAAAAAATTAGTCAAGCCAATTTGAAATGATAAAGCTGTACAGCTCTTTTGAGTTTTCTCAACTCGACTCCAACTTAGTTTAGTCAAACGTTTTCCTAACTCACAGTTACAGTGAATGTGTTTGCATCCTTATAAACTGAAGTTGCCTAAAATCTTTTGGGTATTTTTTTATACTCAGTTTTGTTCTGCCTCCAGTTTAGTCATTACTAATTCCCACCCACAGACTAGGAGTCCTCCTATGGTGCTCCCAGGCTGTGGGGATGAGGGCTTCCTCATCTCACACTCTCAACCATAGATGACTGTGGTATTACCAAGATTCAAACTCATAATCTCCTGATGATTTAGACAGTTATAGCACAGTTATAATGAAATTCAATAAAACTTTGCAATTTAATACTTTGCTTTCTGAGTAAATTTATGTAAAGGGGCAATTTACTATATTTTATTGTATTCTTCATTATTTTTATGAGGTCCACTTATGACACTGTGTGGTTTTATGCACCAAAACAAGTCATTATTAATTTCTACATGACCTCTCATTCAAAAAACACTCAGAGCTGAAACACTCCCTAGAGGAGGGATCTTCAACTAGTGGACTGTGGTCCAAATGCTGAACCAGCAAAGTATTTCAGCGGGCCAGAACGTGCACTTGAAAAAAAATCTGTTGCAAAGCCAAATAATGTCTACAAAAGAAAAAAAAAGATTTTATATCAGCAACATACATGAACGTGAAGCCACATGGCTTCTGCAGCAGTCCTGTGTTACAGTTTATTTAATCACATGCACTGAGGTAAGCGACTCAGCCGAAGGCATCTAGGCAAGATAACAGATCAGAAATCGAATTTTAAAACAAATCATTGAGAATTAAACTACCTACAAATATCAGGCCTGTAGACGATTAAAATAAACCCAAAACTTAACATAGTAGATTTAACAGAGTGCTTATCCATTTCCTGGCAGAAAAAATGTGTGAAATGCTCATAAAGAATATAACTTTTATTATTGTTCATTATAATTTAATTATATTTCCCAATTTCTTTTACTTTATTATTTTACTTTAAGACAGTACTTTTGTCTTTTTAAAAAATATTTTAGTGTTTTAAAACTGATTTCCTATTTATTTCTTTATTTTAATAACCATAGCCAAACGCAATACAGTTTTAAAATGCTTATTAGATTACACAAACATTAAAAAAAAAAACAATTTGTCAAAATATATTTGATGTGTCATATTTAATTTTGTTATTTTTTGGGGTGAATCATTAATGGTAAAGCAGTTAAAGCTAACTGTTGTTGCTGTTCATTTATGTTAGTTTGTTTATCTGGACTTTTGTGAGCAAGAAATTCGACTAAACTGGACCTTTGCTAGTTTTAGTTGAAACCCCCGCCCTACAACTGGCAGTTCTTGTGATATCACAGAAACTGTGACTTCAAAACATGCTGTTTTAGAAGCTTAGTTCTCATGTATGAATGGTCTGTTTTGAAACTGATACTGTTTACAAATTACTTCAAACTCCTTTATTTCAAAAAAGCAAGGGAAATATGATTTTCCATGATATTGGACCTTTAAGCACAAGTAACTGTTCTTAATCTAAGCACAGATAATGCTCTCTGTCCAAGCAGGTATTATTTGAGAATAAGTCACACTCTGAGTAAATTTACCTTCTCATTCTTTCTTGTACACAGAAATCTAGGCAACTTTGTAGCCTAATCTTGGAGCAGCACAGCTGTCTAACTGCCTGATCATCAGGAGATCTCTGTGGTCGGGGTGTCTCTAAGTTCTAGTGGTGTGCTACCCTGTGAGAGCTAACCATGACCAGTTCTTGGGGAAAATGATTAAAAATCCAACAAAAATTTGAGAAATTTCAAATTTCAGACACAAGAATGAAAAATCAGAGTTAGGAGAACTTTTGACTAAAGTAAGTTGAGATAACTCAAAACTGTGCAGCTGGTTGCCTTTTAAATGCTAGAATTTTATACAGTGTATTTTGAAAATCGTGAACAGTCCTTACAGTTCTGTTACAATGTTTTACCACCTTTACACCAGAATCTCAACATATATTTTGTAATATAAAAATGATATACTGTATAAAGGTTCCATAAAAATTATCTATAAAGCAAAGTTATTACTGTTGTTATAGAGTTCAAGCCTATGTGTGTTTTTTTTACTGACTGAAGATCAACCAATTAAAAATTTGTTGCTCAATTAGGCAGAAGTTTCACTCTGAAAACCAGTGTCAGACTTAAGATCATACTTTTACAGTAAACTGTACAATGTAGATCTATTTTAACAAACTAAGTAGTATTCAGAGTTTGGCTTTAAGTCGAAGTATTTACTAAAAGATGTGCTGTGAAACTGGAACATACAAAGTAAAAAATTACCTGATTGTCTATTACAAGCTTTGTTTGTCCAAAGTCTCTGAGTGCACTTGAGTATTGAACCCAACATGGTAAAAAAAAACACTTCGTAGTCATTAGCTTGATGCTAACATATAATGGAAAATCTCCTATTCCTGCTAGCAAACATTAGCATTCTTGTCATGGAAGTTTTTTGCAGGGGTTCTACAAGCACTGTTATATAATTACTGGCCAGGCATGAACACACAGGTACTAGTATGGGTTCCATGCGGTATTATATGTTGGAGTAGCGTTAGAGCTCTTGATAAAAGTCTCATTGTTCCTCAGCAGGGTTCTCAACTCCAAAAACTACAGATTTCAGTGAACAGAAACTCTACAATCTTGAATCATTTTGGCTCCAGTTTATTTGGTGATCATCCTATGACTAATAGGATGTATTACCACTGGGCCAGCACTGTTGTGCCATTGTCCACTTCACTCCTCCTCACTCCCCTGGATATCCTGTATATCCTCATATTGCAATGGAATTTTTCTGTTTTAAAGGATTCCAAAAATCCATGATTGGTTGCTGAAGAATGCACCTCAATCAGACATCTATACATTTCTAAAGGCAGACTGGTGTGTCTGGGGTTTGTGGTGTGAATTTACTGTCTCAGCTGCTGACTTTGGAGAGTCCAGTTAGAGCTTGGTTGCGAGGTTGACAAATCCTTCGAAATTTGGACCACTTTGCCTTTTGAGTGCACTCCATTATATGTTGAAGCAGCTTCACAGTAGAAGCCCGTATTTCCGCGGGTCTCGTGGGACCCACCACGGTATCCTGCGGTGCGGGACACAGACACAGCTGTGGAAAGTGCTCTTAATAAAGGTGAATACACAGCAATACAGCTGACTAAAGCAAGTCTGACATATGGCAGTGATTTTCACTTGTGGCTAACACAGATGGAGACCAGCTATATGCAACTGCGGGCAGAAGAGGGACAAACACTGGATACTGCTAATGCTTTTTTGGATACTTTGCTAGAAATACATGGAAGATGTTGGTGCATTGGTATGTTGGTATGTTAGTTCAGGTCTTAGTGTGTACTGACCCCTGTATTACTATTTGACTTCCAGAGCCGGTCTCCAACGTTACCATAACACAGAATGAGACAGAGCTTGTTGAATTTAACAGCACTGTCAGACTCGCTTGCTCCGCCTCTGGCTCCTCCCTCTCATTCTCATGGCTGAATGGAAGCTCTGAGGTAACAGTTGGGGGGCGAGTTCAGCTGACCGATGGGAACAGAACTCTGACCATTACCAGTGTGAGCAGAGGTGACACAGGGCCATACAGATGTGAGGCATCCAACGTCATCAGCAATGGAACGAGTCGTCCTTTAACCCTCACCATCTACTGTGAGTTCCTTCTTATCATGTGACTTGTTGTTGAGAGGAAGCTGTGATTTATGGACCCATCATATGTGATATATCTGATATATCAGTAAGAGCATGATGGCTCTAAAGATGACTGGATATGGATTATTCCATTGCAGATGGTCCAGACAGTGTTTCTGTTAAAGCAGAACCTTTAAAAACCATCTACAGCTCTGGGTCTGACCTCACACTGACCTGCTCAGCTGAGTCCAACCCTGCTGCTGAGATTCAGTGGGCTGTGAATGGAGCAGTGCTGAATGCAGAGGGTCCAGAGCTCAAACTTACCAACATTCAGGCCAATCAGAGTGGCAGCTACACCTGCACAGCCCATAACACCAAGACCCTGAGATACTCCTCATCTGAACCCATCCACATCACTGTAATGGGTGAGTTGTAGTTTGACTAGATGAGTCGGGGCGCTCTGATTTATTTGGTTGACATTCAGTGTTGAATTTTATCGACTTCACCAAAAGATGAAAAGATGGCTGAAGATCCATCAACAAAGTCTTTCAGAAAAGTGGACAATGGCACACGTAAAACTTTGGGTCAACAGAAATTCAGCACAAAACACAAAGTGATATTACTGTATGTGTAATGTTGTCTTAGTATTTTATTATCATAGTCAAAATCATCACTTACTGTTTTTGCAGAAGATTAAGTATGAATGGCTTGTGCTTGAAAACCTACATTGAATTCCCAGTGTAAACAGTTGTATTTAAATAGCATTTGAATAATTTGTGCATTATTTACATATAATTTAAATGTAGGGCAGAAGTGAAAGTCAGTGGTTTGAAAAATGCATCACGCCAATGGGGATTTCACAACAGCGCTATCCTGCTGGAGCAGAACCAGACTCTTGCTTTCCAAATGTAGCCGTTGGGTTATTCCATGTTATGCCTGGCTCATGATGTCATGGATTTTCCCGAAAATATTCAAGGAAAACCCTCTATTCACTTCATACATTCATGCATAATTTCACAACTGCACTTCAAATGCATACATTTATATTTTTTTATTTAGTGTAATAATTAATTTCAAGAATTTAAACCCACATGCAAAAGAAATATGAAGGAATTTAACACACATGATAAGCCACTTTCAAGAAATATATTTCAACATATATACAAGAAACATATGTTGAAGAGAGTAGACTTTACACATGCAAGACATATCATATTAATTATCTCACAATTACCACCTTTATTAGAGAAATACAAATGTGTTTTACATTATACATCAGCTTTATGTTCTCGAAAATTCATTATAATCATCCAAAATGGTTACAAATGGATTTAAAGCATTTTGGAATTAAACATTTCACATATTTAGATATGTGGCCATTTTGTATATTAATGTGTATGTGTATATATATATATATATATATATATATATATATATATATATATGTGTGTGTGTGTGTGTGTGTGTATATGTTGTATATGCATATATGCATATACATATGTATATGTTTTACATATACGTTAATATACAAAATGGCCACATATTTAAATATGTGAATATATTTCAATATACTGATATAAAAGTGTATGTATTGGCATATATTTAAACATAAAAAACAACAGTTACATATACTCAGCACATATTTTAAAACATCAACTACTTTATACATAAATTAATTTATACATAACTATTTAATATGAGCAAATATAGGTACCTATATTTTTCTTCAGTTGGGGAAGTGAATACATTCCCACAACATATTGAATGCATCTTTATGTCAGTGTTAAAATTTTTGATGTTTAAGCTTTTTGATGTTTAAATGTAGTATTCCTAGGTTTTTATCACATCTACAAATTGTTTGTTTCTGCATGTGGTATTTAAAGCTTCATACTGAATTTCAGAAAGTTTCCAAATGAACCTTTATAAGGCTCCAGAAAATCTTGTTCAGAAATTCTGAAATTCATGTTAAAATTTCAAAGATTCTACTCTTTGTATTACCTGCAAAACAGTAGCATTTTGAATAGTAGTGTCAGGCTTTTGGACCTTTATATCTTATGTGTGCATTTATGTTAAATTAAAAAATCTATTCATTTTATATGCTAATGAGCCCTTATTCAGGAAAGAAACAGAAATCTAATCCAATCCTCCAAATAGATTTGTATGTGTGAAGAAACCTGAACTTGGAAAAGTAACTCAAAGGTTTCAGTTTCATACTTAAGAATTTCTCTTGTAAGAATTAAATTGAAACTATATAGTATCAACTTGATAGCTGATAGTTTCAGCTCAGTCCATCATGCTGTGAGTAGTTAAACTTGATATTTAAGATGTGATTTAGAAACTGACTGGGACCAGCTTTAACAGCAAAAACTATTTGGAGCACAGTTGGAAAATTTTGTGTACATTTTTACTAGATTTTTTATGAAAATCCAATAAATGACCTGTTAGACTGTAGGTAAGATGGTCCTGTTGTACTGACTACTCTGGATTACCGTGGACAATGTGATACAACAGTTGTTTTTGTAGGGTAGGTAATTAAAATGTAACCAAAAAATCCTGAATGTGGAAACGAAGTTCTATTGTTGTTCACTCACATATCACTCAGTTCTTATTATCCAAATGATTTTTTTGGGTGTTTTTTATTTTTACAGAAAAAGTATCTGGAGCTGTCCTCAATGGTCCAACAGCTCCCGTAATAGAAGGCAACTCTGCTAATTTAACCTGTGATGCAAACGGGACTATCGTCACTACAGAATGGATGAAGGATAATCAGAAGCTGTCTCCTAGCAACAACATCGTATTCTCAGCTGATAACAGATCAGTGTCGATCAGATCAGTGAGCAGAACAGATGGTGGTGAATACCGGTGCACTCTCAGCAACCCTGTCAGCTCTGATAGTAGTAAAGAGTACACCATGACTGTTAACTGTAAGTACAAAACATCAGCCTGCTGTTCATTTAATCTACAGCTGCTCTGTAATCTGACAGATAACGGCTCTTCACTGTTACAGATGGACCTGATAATGTGAGAATTGATGGGCCCAGTGAAGTGGAGGAGGGAGGATCTGTGGCGTTCCTTTGCTCTGCTGAATCTGTACCAGACCCCAGATACACATGGACGTTTAATGGAACAAATACTGAAGTGACTACAGCCTCATTCACAGTGAAGCAGGTCAATTTCTCTAACAGTGGAATTTACACCTGCACAGTCCGGAATAACGTCACCGGACGCGAAGCCTCAGCATCCAAAAATTTGACAGTAAAAGGTAAAACTTTTCTCTGGACTACAGGAATAATATGTAGGTTTTCTCTGTCACATAAACTGGGCATACAATATCTTGCACTAAAATCTACTAATATTTTGTCATTATAAATAAAATCAATCAGAGCTGTAGTAAATCCTATAACATTTTAGAGTATGTGCCTCTTCAATTACTTAATAAGCTAGAAAATGTATCTCAGAACTGGCTGCAGAGACTCAAAGGGAAACTACTGAGGGATGTAGCAATTCCTGGATTTTTTAAGTGGGGACTAAATGGAGTCACACTTTTTGTTCAGGGCCCTTCAAATTCAGAGACCCATTTCCCATCGTTTGTGTTGTTTTTGCTAAAAGCCCAATACTGGCTTCGTAAGACACTAGTGCTTGGACCCCGAGAACTGCCACTCGCCATGTCATTTGCAGTCAGATACCACGCCTAGCATTCATGACAGTTCACAGAAATCAATGCGTTCTACATCAGTTACAGACAAAAACAAAGTAGTAGCTGGCTGCAAATGAAACTTTAAATAATTAATCTTTCCCATTCAAAAGCTATTAAAGAAAGAAATCTGTATAGAAATATAAATGAATATCGCTGCTGTCAGAACAAAACTTTGTATCTCCATTTTTGTTGTTTTTTAGTTTTTGACATAATTTGAAAATACCTGTTGCCCTTCACATTGTATGTAAATTTCATGATGAAAGGACCAAAAGAAACAGCCTAAAATGACTTGGAAAAAACTCTGGTTCCATTGACTTACATTAAACATAAATAGGTTTTTTGCTTGTCCTGTAAAGTTACCAGTTTGGAGATACGAGATTTTGTTCCAACAATAACGATATATATCTTCTTGTTGACAGCAGGGATCGAAATGAAACTCTTTAAATCTACACATTGCTCATGAATGGCGTACCTACCATTGTAAAAGTCAAATTTCCACAAAAGGGAGTGAGTTGCTTGGAGGTGGTGATAGACAGGAGGGGGACACTTATAGGGCCAGTCAGATTTTTAGTACAAGCTAGCTTTAAACACAGAGCTATAGTTGAGCCTGCTGTGTTTAAGTTTCACATCAGGGTATTTGACTCTACGTGTGTTAATTCTGACCCTGGCAACCCTTTAATTTCTCTAATGAGATCACCTTAAGTCTTGTGCAGGACACCTACCATGTTAAGAACATTGTTGTGGTGACACACAGGAACCTACACTGTAAAAGTGTAGAAGCCTCATTATTTGAAGGTTTATTGAACTTGACAGGTTTGGTAGTTGTGTTTACTTTTCTACAATGTCACGCCGGCAGCTAATACTGAAAAAATAAAATTCTCAACTTGGACTCTCATAAAGCGACTTGTGAACAACTCTGCTTCATACATACTCTGCCAGCCAAATATATAGGAACAGTTTATTGAGAAAACATTATGACAGTCAGGCTTTAGAAAGACAATTAATATGTCATAGAATAATAATATTAACAACATTTACAATAATATCACCCCAAATGGAAGCAAAATTCTAAATATATTTAACTGTGCAAGGTTTGAATGTTTAATGTATGTGAGACATACATGGAAATATATTGCGAACTTGACACATATTTTGAAAAATACATAGAAATATGTTCTCAGTGAACACTTTATTAGGAACACGATTGTAACACTGCGTAGGACCTTCCTTTGCTCTTAAAACAGCCTAAATTCTTTATGGCATGGACTCCACAAGATTTAGAAACATTCCTTTGAGATTTTGATCCATTTTGACAAATTTTTGCACTTTCATGCTGTGAATCTCCCACTCTACCACGTTCTAAAGGTGTTCTACTGGATTCAGATCCGGTGAATGTAAAGGCTACTGAAGAACACTCAACTCACTGTAATATTCATGAAACCAGTTTGAGCTACTTTTGCTTTGTGACATGGTGCTTCATTCTGGAAGTAGCCTTTAGAAGATGGTAAATTGTGGCCATAAAGGGATGCATATGGTCAGCAACTACACTCAAACAGACTAAATTCAAGCAATGATTGGTCTTAATGAAAAAAATGTGGTTGCCCACACCATTATACCACCTCCACCATCCTGGACTGTTGACACAAGGTTCAGTCCATGGATTCATGCTGTTGGCACCAAATTTTGACCATCTGTGTGCCTCAGCAGTAATTGAGATTCGTCAGCCCTGGCTATGCTTTCCCAGTCTTTAACTGTCCAATTTCAGTGAGCCTGTGCCCACTGCAGCCTCAGCTGTCCTTTCTTGGCTGACAGAAGTGGAACCCGACATGGTCTTCTGCTGTTGTAGCCCATCCACCTCAAGGTTTCACGTGTTGTGCATTCTGAGCTTTTCTGCTCAACACAGTTGTACCGAGTGGATATCTGAGTTGACCTCTCTCATCATCAAGGTGTTTCCGTCCGCAGAACTGCCGCTCACTGGATGTTTTTTCTTTATTGCACCACTCTGAGTAACTCTAGAGACCGCTATGGGTGAAAATCTCAGGAAATCAGCGGTTATAGAAATACTCAAAGCAGCTCATCTGGCACCAACAATCATGCCATGTCAAATTCACTGAGATCACATTTTTTCCCTATTCTGATTGTTGATATGAACATTTCCTGGCCCATACCTGCATGATTTTATCCACTGCACTGCTGCCACCTGATTGGCTGATTAGATAATTGAATGAATAAAAGAATGAGTAGATGTACAGGTGTTCCTAATGAAGTGCTTGGTGAGTGTATTTCCTTTGCTTATGCGGTAATAACAATAATAACAATAATAAGAATATTACAGAAGTTTATTTATTAAGTTTATTTATATAGCGAAATTGACTTAAAGTCAGCGTGGATCGGAAAACGAGGAACAAATTTTACTTCCATGCTCTGTGCTTAATATAATGAGGGAATGAACTAAGAAAAGTAACAAAGGTCAGTTTTGACTTCATGTTGACTTTATGAATTAATTCTTTGTCAAGCAGTTGTCTCAAAAAATCATTTTCATTTAATCATGTCTGACTCAATATCATTAATGCATTAAATGACTGATCTGCTGGTTTCTCTGTGTTGTTTCAGAAAAGGGGAGTTTGAATGGAGGTTCACTGTCTGGAGGAGCTATAGCCGGGATTGTCATTGGGGTTTTATTGGGAGTCGCTCTAGTTGCTGGTTTGATCGTCTACTTTACAAAATGCGCAGGAAGGCAAGTAACTGCACCTTCACTTTATAATGTGCTTCATAAAGCATAGCAGTATCATTCACAATCAACAAAGTTCACATTTATTGGTTTCCTAGTAACCATGAAACCAGCTGAATGAGGAAGTTATTTTGGCGCTCAAACAGTTACTGGAACGATTTACAGGTTAAGGAAGAACATTAGCATTACTGTTTACAAGATCAAGCAGTCTAGACAAAACAATGAGCTTATGAGCTTCATCAGAAAGAAAAACTGCCTCCAAATCAGTGGCCTCCAATCATTAGCCTTCGTCTTTCCACAGAAAACTGACTCCAGTGTTAAAACCTAAACAGTAGACCTGCACCACAAACTAAAACATGAAGACGATATAAGATTACTAATGTTTTTTAGAAGTCGTGATTTGCTAGAAAACCAGCAAATTTGCCTGTGGTTGTCCAGGCAGCTGAGGGAAAAACTTGTGGGAAATCATTAATGCAGAAAGACCACAAATGTTCTCTTGGTGGTTTAGACGACGATTAATAATTTACTCACTGACTGTGGTTAATTATTTCCACAGACACCTCCAACAGTCAGAAAGGTCAGATTTAGTTTCAATTTAGCCTCTATTTAGAACAGAACTACATTTGTCCGCAGAGGTGAATAGGTTAAGTATTAAACTGTCTTCATGTAAGAATCAGCCCCGAATAATAATCAGTACTAAAATGTTTTTTTCAAGAATGTTGACTAAAGAATTTGTAAAAGCTCACTTTAAAAAGAAAACAAACGTGGGATGAAGAACCACCCTTGGCTCCCTAAAGAACCTTTCAGTAGAAGGAATACTCCAGAACATAGTCTGATGACTCAAAACACATGGGCCTGGCCTTAGGCTTCTATTATAAATGTGGTTTGAGGAGGAACGTTGACTGTTTCAGGTGTTGAAATGATTGTTTGTGGTAACTAAGCTTGAATGATCAGTTGCCACCTACTGAATTATTGCGATAAAAACAATATAATCATGGCTGGAATTATTACAGAGTACCACAAGTGCATGATACAGAGCCATACCGACTGTGCTAGGTTCTAGTATTACCTAATCATGTCTAATGATTAACATATTCTACACAGACAGCATGGAACACTGTGCATTTGTTTGCATGGAAACCAAAATATCACCAGTGTGGCGTCTTGGCACCCTTCTTCCAGACAAGCTCGTCGATTTTACTGTATAGGAGAGTAGATCACGTTTAGATCTCAAGACGAAGCAATAAAAATGTCATATGGCACATAAAAGAGAATGAAAAAAGGATTTCTGATTTTTCATATTCTCTGCTAGTAGTGGACGGTGTAGCCAACATTTGATATCACCATCATAATGAATGGTGTATGTCTGATAATTAAGGTATATATGTCTGCTGGTTGACGTAAATCACACTATTATTTATATCTTCAAATAAAACCATTATAGATGCTTAAGATGCTTATGTATGTAGATGCTTAAGTATGTATTAATAAGTAAGCCAGTTTTGTTAGATTAAGAGTGCCTTATTATTCTGGGATAATATGAACATTTTTTGTGCAAAATAGAAAAAACAAAACTGAACGGTAAATAGAAAGACTATGTCAATATTGCATTCTGGCAAAAATTGTGCTAAATCTTGTCTGAATTTCTACAAAGCTGTACAAATTTTCTGTTCCACCTTAAATGGAGCAGTTACATTCTGGCACCTGTACAGGTGGTTGAACGTAACTGCTGCACATTTAAGGTCGAACGGGTATTTCGAATAAGCAGCCAACTTCAGCTTTGTCCAGTTTTCAGTCATTTGTCTTATATGTGCATCCCATATATCGCCATATATCACGTCTTCGACCATCAGACACTGCTGAAAATATTCCCGCTTCATTACCAGCTAGTCCACAGCTTGTTGCACAAACAAGGCAAGGAGACCGCGACACCATAAGATGCAGCAGACTGAGTCAGGTGGCTCCTCGTGTCCATGTTAGGCTAAGGCTAATCCCAAAAGACCAGACATTCCTTTCTGTCCACTCAGTGTGAAAAATATCCCTTGGAATTCTAAGGTCCCAACTACGTTAGGGCATATTGTAAAGTTTTTCAGAGGTATCCTGGACATTGTAACGGTTGCTAGACTATGAAGGACCAACTGGGTGAACCAGTTTGCTACAGCGCCACCCTGAGGCAGACCAGTGCTGCATCTCTACTGAGTTAAGAATACCAAATACAGAAGCTCTCTGGTTTTTAAGTGACGCAGCTAAATAATGATCACTGAATTTGTATTTCAGCATCTGTTTCACCCTAACAGACAGCATAACATCAATAATAGTTTCAGAGACCGCACAGAATTTTGATCTTGAGACTATCAGGGGGTCCAAGAGGTTAATTTGGACGTCCTGGACTCCCCAGGACCCCTGTATTTCGTACCTATTGTCTGCTGTCTCGAAAACAAAGTGGACTGCTTCATATGCAACTGACTAAACAGCGGGAGGTGATCACATTTTCATTTGAAACATGACCGAAACATCCCTGACTTAGTCATTCAGCTAAACGGTATTGGCCCACGGCTTGTGGTATCTGCTCATGTGCTACAGAAGAATACTGACGGTAGTTCAGACTTCCACTGAAAGATTGTTTAGGCTCCTTCCTGGCATAATATATTTTGAATTGTTTATCTAACTCAATACTTGAGTCAGTTTGATTGTAAAACCTGATCTTCATTCCACTGTCTGATCCATACAGGCCAAAATCGAGCTCAAGAGGAGTAAAGCAGAATGGAGGTATGTGTGATCTACTGTCCAGTACGAACCTGACATGTAGACGCTGACAGCATACGGCCTGTCCCAAAGTTCACACTTGTGGTTTGTGTTTTTGCTTAAGTGTACAGTTGCATGATATATTTCAACATGATATGGTGAAAGAGGTAAACCAGCAATCAGGAGGTCATGGGTTCAATTCCCAGGACTGGGTGACCCAGACAGCACTGCTCTGCTCATGACGTTGTGCTGCTTCCAGGCTCCCCTTGTAAGATCACTAATTTACAATATGATGCAAGTATAAGTTTATAAAATATAACATAACAATACGACAAGCCCTCCTTTAGACTGAAAGTATGCTGATGTATCGTATCACAGTAGCTGACATGTTAACATTCTCCCCAGTATTTCAGAAACAGCTTGTTAGGACATCACCAAAGTGTTGAATTGTGAGATATATAGGGGAAAAAGGCAGGAAATGCCTCCTTAAGAACAATACCAGTTTACTGTAAATTGGTGCCTGTGCATGAGTTTATCATAAACAGGTGATGATGCAAAGACCCACACAAAGTTGGGAGAGTATAAATGTGGAAGTATTAATGGTGGGAGGAGGAAAGACGCCGGGGGGAGGTGTGAAGACGGAGAGCTTTTTCTTTATTCACAACGCAAAAACAAAATACTTGGCTTTTCAGCCCACAAAGACAAGACGCTCGCTGGGACTTTTCAGTCCTTTCTGTCCACCTTTTTTTCCTGATCCGTTCAGGTCAGTTCAGTCTGGTTCGGTTTAGCTCAGCTCTCACGCCTCCAGTGGTCTCCTTCTCTCTCTGGGCTCTGCCGCCTACTGAAGGAAGAGATTGCCTATAAGTAGGCTGGCAGAAACAAGGCACAGGTGAACATAATCAGCTAGTTAGCCCACCGGTTCAGCCCGACCGGCTTCTCCGTCCCGCATTCGACGCTCGGCCACGCCCCCTTCTCCACAATAAAGTAGAACTGTTTTTGTAGCATGAAAAAGAAAACGTACAAGAAAATCTTATTATTAATAACAATATAAACAAAGCTTTACATTCACCGATTTATTGTTAAGCGTAAATGATTCTTGCTCATGATAGAACAGATCAGGTATGAGCTACCAAGCTCACAAACTCCACCAAGATTGCGAAATGCAGCCTAATTCTGGCTAACAGTCGCTATAGCTAGCATGTAGCGCTAATCAGTGAAGCTCCAGTGAACCATTTTGTGTCTTTTCAATGAACATCAAATAAAATCAAATAAAATAGAAAATATGTGGGGCAATATGCAAAACGGGGCCTTTTGTCCCATATCTCGGGGAACTTTTTACTCCAAAAGTTCTAACTTTACGCTTTCACTGTTTCATGATCTTTTATCTCAATACCAACTGTACTGCGCTCCATCCACCCCAACATATATGTTAAGAACTTTTCTTGTGCATCTTAATATAAATGCCTAGATCACTATTATCCACTGACAAAAAACACTGTCCTATTACACGTTTAAGAAAAGGGACACATTTGAATGTTTACCACATGAATGCACACAAGTACATAAACCTGCAAGTGTGAACTTTGGGACAGACGGATGCTTTAGTTCTGTTGTGTATTGACCTAGAATGAAGCAGTATTTTTGAATGGAGCAGTGTTCTAGATTGAAGCGATTAGGGGTGGGAATCTCTAGGCACCTCACGATTCGATTACGATTCAGAGGCTGCGATGCGATTATAAAACGATTATCGATGCATCTTTTTTTTCTATACATGATTTCTATTTTCTTACTGTCTGAGGAAAGACTGCAGGTCACCTAGCAACAAGGTTTCGCCGAGCTAGTAGCGAACGAAAAAGGAAAAGAGAAAGACGAACATTTGGAGACGAATGGACTTTTCGCATTTATAAGCAGCGCGGTTGATTTCCTGGTATGTTAAATCTGCAACGAGAGACTCAAACACTAACTAAAAGATACGAAGCTGCGAAGATGAAGTCGCTTCTCTAAATTTCCCGTTCCACCTTAAATGGTGCCGTTTTTACATTCGGCGTCTCAGTCAGAATTTAAGGTGGAACCGGAAAGTTCAGCAAGAAGCTGGCGAATGAGAAGCGACTTCAGCCTCGTAAAACAGCCGAAAGCTGAGAGACATTTTACAAGAAACTATTCAACTTCTGAGGAAAAGTTTTCGGGCGGAGATGGAAGAAAAGCGGCTAAAGCTAAAGCTTAAAGCAGAGCAGAGTAAGTCCGCATTTTCGTTTATATTGTTTAGTCTATACTAGGACATCATCACATACTGAGACATACTGGACATTAAATGTTGCGGCTCCTAAGGTGGTTTGATTTTTGTTGAAAGGACAAAATGTCTCTTCTTATCATTTGTGTTGTGACTCCTGATCTAACCTGGCTTTAATGCAGAGGGAGCCGGTCGGATTTCTCACTCATCCAGCTGTGTTTTTGTTATGTGCCGCCACAGACTGTCCAGGCGCTGCACTTACCCACTTCCAAGGTCCGCCCTTTGCGTTCCGTCAACATTACATTATAAATTAAATATTTAGAAAATCGATTTTTGACATTTATGAATCGATTCAGAATCGTCCACGTCTGCATCGCGATGCATCTAAGAATCGATTTTTTCCCGCACCCCTAGAAGCGGGTTCTAGAGTGAAGCTGTATTTTAAAATAAAGTAGTGTTCTGGAATTAAGCAGTATTTTTGACTTGTGCACTGTTCCAGATTGAAGCAGTATTTCTGAATGGAGCAGTGCACTCTAGAATAAATTAATATTCTAGAGTAAAGCAGTGTTCTAGAAGTGTTCTAGATTGAAGCAATGTTGTAGAATGAAGTTGCATTTTAGAACAAAGTAGTGTTTTGGAATGACGCAGTATTTTTGAATGGGGCAGCATTCCACAATGAAGCAGTGTTCTAGACATACTGATGATACTGATATACTCAGAAAGGCGCATTATATGATTCGTCACACCATGTTTAACTGAATTGATCAGATCTGTCTATGAAAATCATGTTTCATACAGAATATTGTTTCAAAGTCACAGATTTATCTGAACATTGATTTCTTTGTGCATTTTCTTACACAGCAACACAAAATGGAGGCGACCATGTGAGTCACTATCTTTGTTCACCATCTCTCTCAGACCTTTAATTCACTGCCTAATGTTTAACTTTGAGATCCATCAAGTGCATCTGTCTGTCTGTCCGTCTGCCTGAGTGTCAGTCTCCACTGTAGAGGTTGTATGGAAGGCTGGTTTATAACACGTAGCTGTTACTTTATCTTAACTACTGCACCATCTCATTATTCTCAGCCCTTTGATAGCTGCCATATACAGACGTCATTAAAGCTATAGTGACTCTACCAAGCAGTGGACATTTACACATTTACATTTACAGTTTACAGTAAGCCTGCTGAGGACTTTGACCTCACACACAGCTCCTCTCACTGCTGACTGGGGCAGCTCATGGTTCAGCATGTGTGGTTGATTTAGAGAAGTACACTGATGTTTTTTCCAACATACAGCGCTGTGCAGGAGTCAGACGTCACCCTTCATTTGGTTGTTCTTCCATTTTGTCAAATTGGCCATTAAATACAGGACATATTTCTGAGATTACATTAGATAATCCACTTCCATACACTGTTAGAAATAAAGGTGCTGTGCAGGTTCATGAAGGTGCAGACAATGTAAATGTGCCCTCAAAGGTACAACAGTGGTTTTAAGGTCTGATTGTAAACCTTAAATAAGTGTTTCCAGGTGAAAAGTTCGTATTTGTACCTTTTCATAACCGAATGTTTTAAAACAGAACAGTAAAATAAAGTCCTGGAGACGAGACGGGGTGTGTGGAGTCAGTACAGCTTAGAACATATCATTTCAGTGGATTATGGTCCAGTTATGTTCCCTGACTAAAGGTACTGAGATGTACCCTTGAGGGCTCCACCCCAGTGATGAGAGGGGTACTCCCCCAATGACGGTTTCAGACCTTTATTTCTGAGAGTGTAAGGAAGGAACAAAAATAAGTGAAAAAAATAGGAGTTTCCAGAACTGAAGATCAATAAACAACAAAGCTACATAGAAAATATGGCTCCTAACAAATTCTATATTTTCTACAACGTTTCCACACATATTTGCTCACACAGGCAAGTAAACAACAAGTTGTGCACATTCACCCCCTCTTATCAACCATGTGGACCAAGCATTGTGCCAAACTTCCTAGTGCAGAGGGGGATTTCAGATTGCCACAAACTTCTTCTGTAAGATATGCAAATGTAAATGTTACAGAGAAAGATATTCTTCTCTTACAAAAAAAGTACATCTGAAGTTCATTTTATTAAGTAAACTTAAGTAAAGTTCAAGTATATTTCCCAAGTATATCTTATGTCGTAAGTATACTTATATCAATGTTTTTGTAGTACTTATAAGTGTACTATTTCAATACTTTTTGGGACTAAATTGGCCCATTTTTAGTTTATAAAAGTATATTTTTAAGTACCCTTTAGGTGTAAAAGTAGTAAACTTTGAGAACACTAGTGTACATATAAGTATTCTTGTAAGTGTACTATTTCAATACTTCTTGGGACTAAATTGGTCCACTTTTAGTTTATAAAAGTAAAATTTAAAGTACTCTTTAGGTGTAAAAGTAGTAAACTTTAAGAACACAACTAGTTTACATGTAAGTTTTATTTTGTACCTTAACTATACTGTGAAATACACTATAAGTGAACTTATAGGTACTGGTTATGTACTTCTAGCCCACTTTTTAGTTTATGAAAGTATATTTTATATTATATATTTTATATTTATATTATATAAGTATAACTACAAGTACAGGCCACAAGTATATGAATAAGTACATACAAGTATGTGTGTAAGTATAATTATACGCCAAATATACTTCAACTTTTCTGCATACTTGTCAGTATAAGCCAAGTATACTTTTATATATTTTGTCTAATATATCTTTGATAAGTGCATAAAAAGTAAACTGAGAGCAAACTCACTTATATTTAGTACTGCAAATATTCAATATTCCATGTTTGGTGATTCCGACTCCTGTGTATGGAAAATAGGTTTAGCTTGGAATCCAATTAAAGTGAGAAGTAATTTGACTTGAGATTCTAATTACATGTTCAAATGGAGTTTATTGCAAGCAGTTTTAGCTCATAATACTATTGTTCAATTTACAGTGGATTTTACAAAAGAATTTAAAATGTTCATTTTTTATACACTTTTTAGTATCAACAACGTTATTTAATAAAGAAGCTACATTTATTGGTTAAAAGTTAAAAACATATTTACTGAAAAAATTACTATTATTTGTCACTTCTTCATTTAAAATTTGTAACTCTGTTTTTGAGACCTTTTCTTTGTTTCTTTGTTTTCGTTTCTTTCATTTTGGCAGCCAACCAGAGCTTCACTTGGCATGGTTCATGATATGTATGAGCTCGTTTACATGTAGATTTTGATGGGCTCTTGCCAAGGACACTGGCGAAAAAGCAGAAGTGTTAAAAGACATTGACACGCTATTCACCGCCACAGTGCCTTTATGAATAGCTCTTATTTAACGTGCCACACATTTTGCATGGTGTACCACAGACTCAGTAATCCTGTGCATGTTGAACACTACATGCTTAAGTTAGCTTAAAACCCCTTTTAAAATTGTATCCCTTCTCACGCAGCAGCAGTGTGCACCCAACATCAGTGAATTACTGGATAAAAACCTTAGATATCATCATAATGTCCCCACTGATAGAGCTTAGGTTAACAAATTCAGCAGCAGTACAAATTCAGCAGCAGTACAAATTCAGCAGCATGTGCTACATTAGCACTCATTAGTTTAAGACCCCTCCTTTCACTAAAGCTGCTTTTTTGAGAATTCCTGCCAAGCATCTAAAGGAATAAACCTCTTGCCTCACCCTTGTTTATGTTCTGCCACTCTAATTGCAAGTTGTCATAGTAGGCTAGTTATCATAGGCTGTGTTTACATGCAAAGATTTTTGCCAGTCTGATTGAATACATTCCGATTATAGGTGAAGACTGAGGCGTATCTGCTCACTCTTCTCAACAATCTGACGAAAATCTCTGTTTACATGCTCACTACAAGTAATCCGAACTTACGCGCATGCGTAGAGAACCGCTTAGTGTAGACGTTACCATGACAACCAGCATCACGTGAGTCCAGTCAGAGTGAGATGAGCAGCAGTGAGCAGGGCTTGTCTTTTTATTTGCTTTAAAATGATGTCAGACTCAGGAAAACGTCCTTCACATGTCCTTATTAACGAAGGCCGAGAGGAAGACGTCGTGTTCTGAGACACATAAGCTGGACGTCCGTCCCACCGCCGTCTTTTAAAGATCAGAGCATAAACTTCGTCTCCTCTGCAGACCAGTTTCTGCTCCGCCATGTTAAACGGTATAAACTCTCACTATGATGTGACGAACGTATATTCAGAGACATTCCCAATATATTTTTAAAATATCTCTATAGTGTAAATACTCTTGAGCTTTCTATTTATAGTTGTTTATATTGTTAAGTCCTCACCGTCCCATGTGGAATATAAAACAGTACCTCAAGTGCAAAACTCCATGTGAATTTCATGCAAAATATTCTTACAATGTAAATATCTTAGCTTTTTTATTTATTTATAATTCTTTATTTTGTCATTTTTTTGTGAAGGATAGAGTTTATATTTTTGATCTTATCTTTTTTTATGTTTAGTTTTGATATATATTGTCTATATAGTAACAAGTAACACACTGTAAAAAACCTTGTTAAGTACTTAACAAAGTTAATTACCTGCTTGTTAATTCTCTTCTTGTTACTTCATCTCTTTTTCCTGAGTGCCTTGCTGTCTCTTTGCTGCTGTATCCTATCCTGTCTTATCCTATCTTGGATACAGACGTTTACACGAATATTATTCTTCTGTTTAACGGATTATTTACAGGATTACCCACCTCGCTCAGTCAGATAGAAGTTGTATTCCGAATGGCCTCAATCAGACTAGTATATTCCCACTGAGGTGCATACATGGATGTGTTTTGTTCAGATTGAGCTATTAGTCGGATTATTAGCGGATTATCTGGCTGAAAGTAAACAAGGCTATTGACTAGTAAGATATTAAGTGTTGGCGCCTGGAATTTAGAGGACATTCTACTCATTTTTAGTATTATACATTTAACTAACAGCCTCCTTTCCTTTTTAGGAGTTAAACTACGCAGACATCCGGCACTTTCAGAATAATCAGAGTGTGCTGAATATGGGGGGATCCAGCACACAGACACGGCAAGGAACGCCTGCCATGGCGAGAGCTCAACGGGGGGCTAATCAGGTAAGCAGATCTGTTTGATATGCAAGCCCATATTTATTGTCATCACTGTTATAACAGTTAAAGGGAAGGATACATTTGGCTACTTTTGCTTTGAAGTGGCAAATTAAATATTTCTTGTAAAATCAAACTGATCTAGAATCTCTTGGCAAATGGACACTGTATGTTGAGCAGGACAGGAATGGACGATGTTTAAGTGGCATAAAACCGAAATATCTGGATTTTGAGCATCTTGGTTAAATCATCAGATTTCAGAAAAGATTCCAAACCGACCGTCTCGGCTTTGCTTTGCTGCCAGTGGGTAGTGTGCAAAACTTTCAGTTTGTATGTTCATTAGTTTCTGACCTTAAAGGGGAACCGACTTTTCAAAATTCCTGCATAATTAAAAAGATGTAAACAGAGTCATTCAGAGTGGTTTGGTGTGAAATACTCCATTTTAGAGAAACTTACAGTCAGAACTGTTCACAGTGGTGGTGATAGGAACCAGACGTCCACCTCTAAAAGCTCCCTCACAGAAAGTTACTACATGGTCATGGAGAAGTTGGCTGATGCCTGAGAAACTATTTCACGATAGTTTCAAGATAAAGTTTTGGCCTAAAATGTTGATGTAGATATAGACGCGGCGGGGAGGTGCATGCAGGCCTTTGTGCGGCAAAATAGTCTCCAAAGAAATTATTTCAGATACATTTTTGCGTTGTAGACATTGCCACCCCTGCACACTTAAAAATGATGGTTCTTTAAGGGTTCTTTAGTAAAGAAAATGGTTCTGTATAGAACCACGAACACTCAAAGAACCCTTTGTATGATTCATTCAGATTGATGGAGAATGTGCTGTAGATGGTTCTATATAGAACATTTTTGAAAAAGGTTCTAAATAGCACCAAAAAGAGTTCTTCTAATGTCAAGCTTGTTACTTGAAAAGAGCGGTTTTTATGCACCAGAGATCTCCAATAAACGTCCGTCAGGGTCCTTTTGTCAGTGTTTTTGAAGAACAGTGTGTGAGTTCAGATCACGCCTTCAGCATGGTGGTGGTAGTATGAGGGACGACTGATTGAGGGAAGAGTGAGAACTCTGAGAACTTGGGCTGTTATGCGCAGCTTCTGCTTGTAGCTAGAAGGCCAGATCCCCCCTCATAGCTGTAGTAGGACTGATGTAGGACTGGGGAACAGGGAGGAGATGGGGTGGCGGTGGGGATTGCGAACGCTTCATCACAGGAACGGAAGGTGAGGGTGTGAATTTATAGGGCGTCAGATTGGAAGAAGGAGGTTTCAGCCATGTTCCTCCCCCCAAACGTCAGTTATAACATAACTACATTTAAAAACATATTTCTTTACTTTTGTGTTTAACAACTTTTTTTTGTTTCTACTGGAAAATAACTGTTACTTTCATTTTAATTGTTGCACTTATTTGTATTTGTATCTTGTGCATTTTACACAGTTATTAGTTATTGCATTTTTTATTGTTTATTGTATCGTTTGATTACCTTTTCTCTACTTTCTCTGTTGATTTTACATTTTTATGTTTTACTTTGTCCCGAAAAGCACTTTATTAATGTTTGAAAGGTGCTGTATAAATTATTATTATATTATTATATATAAAAAAGATGATCATTATTATTATTATTATAGGGAGCAAAGGCTAACCCAGAGGCAGAGGTCACCTATTCTGATGTGAGGAAGTGATTTTCATTAGAAATGGACCAAAGTGCACTGAGCAATGTACCAGACAGCTGAGGATTTGAACAAACAGGAAGCAACAGGAGAGTCCAAGACTGTGAAGTGTCTGAATGTTACTGCGTTCTTCAGGAAACCCTCAGCGACGGATCTGAGCGTTGAGCTTAATATCAGACGAAGATATAATGCATGGAAATAATATGTGCTGTAACCATGTTCACCTTTTGCCTTAATTCATTTGTGCTATAATCTCATTTTTGAGGCCCTCAAATGAGGAACGTCCATTAGATGTGTCCGATATCGAGGAGAGACGCATTGTAAGGATGTTTTAGATTAGAACGCTTGCACTGCTTAGCTGCTTCACCAGCCTGATGATATAAGAAAGACAAAGTGCAGCAGGTAGGTTGATGATTAATCTTACCTTTGGACTTGTGGCTGATGTTTTTTCAGGGAACCGAAACCGGGAAGTTGGAATAATAAATGTAAATCGATTGTATGTAAATGAGCTTCATGTTGATGAAACGGTTGATAAACAGTTGTGACAATTCTCTGTTCCTCTTGAACTTTATTTTTGTAAGCCTGTGTGTGTGTGTGTGAGTGAATGCTTCCTTTTTTGGAAATGTATAATTTTAAGCAGAATATCTGCATTTTTTGGGATTATTTTCATCATTGAAATTGAAATGCTGCTATGTATTGTGTGCCGTCAGTCATGTTGCATGTTAGACACTGACATACTATATAAAAGTCAGTTTTCATTTCTTTCATTTCCAGTCAAAACAGCCATTAAGTACAAATTAATCAATTTTCAGCACTAAAAAAAACAGAAAGCATATCGTTGCTGTCCAAAGAAAACATCTCCATTTTTGTCCATATTCATTATTCAACACAGCAGCTGTGCTTTACTTTGTGTGAAAATTTCATGATAAATGGGCCAATAGAAATGCTCTAAAATCACCGGAAATAAAATCACTTTACAATGATTTCTATTGAAAGGTAAGAGTGTTTTTCCTTCTCCTGTAAAGTTACTATTCTGGAGATACTTGTTTTTCTTTGGACAGTGACGATATGTTTAACAGAAAATGACACAAAAGCCTCGACAACTAGCTAAAATATCAGATGTTTCAGTGTTTAGTGTGTCAGTCTTTACCTTTATTCCAGCTTCCATTCTTTTCAGGAGACTCACTTTCAGTTTCTCAAAGAATCTGCAGACACACCTCCAAAGTTCAGTCTTAGAAGTTGGTTACATTTTCAGCTCATAATCCAAGTAATTTCAATTACAAATTACTCATCAGTCCTTCAAACCCTCCACATCTTAAATGTCTATATTAGTAAACTTCTTTTAACCCAAATATAAGTGAGTTTGCTCTCAGTTTACTTTTCATATACTTATCAAAGGTATATTAGACAAAATTATATGTAAGTATACTTGTCTTATACTTACATACTTGTGTATACTTGTGGCCTGTACTTATAATTATACTTCTATAATATAAATAAAAAAATGTATAATATAAGATATACTTTCATAAACTAAAAAGTGGGCTAGAAGTAAATTACTAGTACCTATAAGTTCACTTATCACTGCTGTCAGAACCAAACCTCATGTCTCCGTTTTTGCCGTTTTTCAGTTTTTGCCATCATTTGAAAATGCCTGTTGCTCTTTACGTTGTGTGTAAATTTCATGATAAATGGACCAAAAGAAACAACCCAAAATTACCTGGGAAAAACGTCTGGTTCCATTGACTTTCATTAAAAGTAAAGAATGTTTTTTCCTTCTCCTGTAAAGTTACCATTTTGGAGATACAAGGTTTTGTTCCAACAACAGCGTAATAGAGTCTTTCACAGTATAGTTGAAGTACAGAATAAAACTTGCATATAAACTAGCTGTGTTCTCAAAGTTTTCTACTTTTACACCCAAAGAATACTTAAAAATATACTTTTAAAAACTAGAAAGTGGCCAATTTAGTCCCCAAAAGTATTGAAATAGAACACTTAGAAGTATACTACTAGAACATTGATATAAGTATACTTACTTATATGCAAGGTATACTTGGGAAATAAAATTACCTTAATTAAGTACACTTTTTTAAAGGGAAGTTTCAGTTTATCTGTCTCTTAAAGATGAAAGTTTTAAGCACTGATGCCAGTTTTTTCTCCCGGGTGGTTGTTAGGAATCTCATTCTCTGTCTTTTGCCGTCAACCACGGAGGTGGAATAAACCAGATGTTGATTTTTTGGAAGCCACAACCACCTTAAACAACAACAGACACTGCTGAAGCTTTGGATAATCCCCAATTTAATAAATAATATTAAAAGTTATCACTGTTGGAACAAAACCTCGCATCTCCAGAACAGTAACTGTAAACATGTAATGGAAGTTAATGCAACAAGATTGTTTTCCAAGTAATTTTAGACCAGTGCTATTCGTCCATTCATCGTGAAATTTTAACACAATGCAAAGAGTAACAAGAGGTTTCAAATTTTGCAAAAAAGTTAACAGCAAAAATATAGAATCTCATTTGCTTTTTTTATTTAAACTCCACTCGTTTTCCTTTGACGTCCTCTTTCATTACACGAGTGGATTATCTAATCTCCTCAGAAATATCTTCTAAAGAAAAAATAACCTGTATTTTAATGGCTGTTTGACTGGAAATGAAATAAACGTGACTTTTGTACAGCACTGTACTCACATGAAATCAGAATGTGGATGTGATGGATTGTATCAGAAAGTTATGAATGGTTAAGTTAAGGTATTTAGTGGTTGTAGCTTTTCTTACAGCTTCATTCTTTTGTAATCCAAATAATTTGCCACAGCTCATTACAGCTCTTTCTGAGATTCCATTATATATACATATTATACTTTTATTTCTAATATGATTTTGGCAGTGTTGTTATCTGTGATCTGGAGACTGAGTCTATTTTGATACTTTATTTATGATGTAACTTTTAACAACTGTGCTAAAGTAATTCAGATTCAATATAGGGCAATAAGGAGGAACACTCCATTTACAGTATTGTATTCTACTGTAATTTTACAGAAATAGTGCTGTTGTGTAATTAATTATGTCAACGTCTGGCATTAACAGAGGATGGAAAACATTCAGTAAATAAAGTCATTTTCAAAATGAGCCTTGTTTGGAGAATATTTAAGTACCACATTGTTGCATTCAAGCCTTTTTTTTTTCTTTGGTTGTGTGATTTTGGAGCTCGGACGATTAGCATCAACTTTTTTAATTGTCTTTGTCAGTTTTCATGCTGAATTTTCATGTTGCCATTGACAAAAGTGGCGCGCAACCAACAGCGGCATGCTGTGGAAACGTGCCATGGTGACATTGTCACAAATGAAAGGATTAGCAGTAGAGAGAGCAGTGCTGATCACTCATTGAAGCATTTGGTCTCCATGGGTCCCAGAAAAATCAACAGCTCATTTATTCCACCTCCAAGATTGATGGAAAATTTGAATTCTTGACAGAAAGTTCTTCTGACCACTGCAGTTACAGCAGGTGGTGGCAGAATGGTCAATGCCCCGTTGAAAACAATAGAATAAAATACGTTAATGTCTGTGACAACCTTCAAATCAAATATATTGTAGATTTCAAATGTCAGCGTTTAATCTGGAATTGTTCGTGTGCACCAGCATTAGCTTGTTGCTAACATACTGTAAGTAAACCTATGGTATGCTAGCAGTAGAGGTGGCTATTTTGTGTGTTGCTATTTATGGCCCAAAGTGAAGGCCTAGCTCTAATAGAACTTTCTAGAACATAGGGCGTAATGCACTAGAACTTTCAGGGTGTAATGCACTAACTTTCAGGGTGTAATGCCCTAGAACTTTCAGGGTGTAATGCCCTAGAACTTTCAAGGCGTAATGCACTAGAACTTTCAGGGCATAATGCACTAGAACTTTCAGGGTGTAATGCACTAACTTTCAGGGTGTAATGCACTAACTTTCAGGGTGTAATGCACTAGAACTTTCAAGGCGTAATGCACTAGAACTTTCAGGGCATAATGCACTAGAACTTTCAAGGCGTAATGCACTAGAACTTTCAAGGCGTAATGCACTAACTTTCAGGGTGTAATGCACTAGAACTTTCAAGGCGTAATGCACTAGAACTTTCAGGGCATAATGCACTAGAACTTTCAAGGCGTAATGCACTAGAACTTTCAGGGCATAATGCACTAGAACTTTCAGGGCGTAATGCACTAGAACTTTCAGGGCGTAATGCACTAACTTTCAGGGCGTAATGCCCTAATTTTCAGGTCATAATGCACTAACTTTCAGGGTGCAATGCACTAACTTTCAGTGCGTAATGCACTAGAACTTTCAGGGCGTAATGCACTAACTTTCAGGGTGTAATGCACTAACTTTCAGGGTGCAATGCACTAACTTTCAGTGCGTAATGCACTAGAACTTTCAGGGCGTAATGCACTAACTTTCAGGGTGTAATGCACTAGAACTTTCAGGGTGTAATGCACTAGAACTTTCAGGGTGTAATGCACTAGAACTTTCAGGGTGTAATGCACTAACTTTCAGGGTGTAATGCACTAACTTTCAGGGTGTAATGCACTAGAACTTTCAGGGTGTAATGCACTAACTTTCAGGGCGTAATGCACTAACTTTCAGGGCGTAATGCACTAACTTTCAGGGTGTAATGCACTAGAACTTTCAGGGTGTAATGCACTAACTTTCAGGGTGTAATGCACTAGAACTTTCAGGGTGTAATGCACTAACTTTCAGGGCGTAATGCACTAACTTTCAGTGCGTAATGCACTAGAACTTTCAGGGCGTAATGCACTAACTTTCAGGGTGTAATGCACTAGAACTTTCAGGGCGTAATGCACTAACTTTCAGGGTGTAATGCACTAGAACTTTCAGGGTGTAATGCACTAGAACTTTCAGGGCGTAACGCACTAGAACTTTCAGGGCGTAATGCACTAACTTTCAGGGTGTAATGCACTAGAACTTTCAGGGCGTAATGCACTAACTTTCAGGGTGTAATGCACTAACTTTCAGGGCATAATGCACTAGAACTTTCAGGGTGTAATGCACTAACTTTCAGGGTGTAATGCACTAACTTTCAGGGCGTAATGCACTAACTTTCAGGGCGTAATGCACTAACTTTCAGGGTGTAATGCACTAACTTTCAGGGCGTAATGCACTAGAACTTTCAGGGCGTAATGCACTAACTTTCAGGGCGTAATGCACTAACTTTCAGGGTGTAATGCACTAGAACTTTCAAGGCGTAATGCCCTAGAACTTTCAGGGCGTAATGCACTAGAACTTTCAGGGCATAATGCACTAGAACTTTCAGGGCGTAATGCACTAACTTTCAGGGCGTAATGCACTAGAACTTTCAGGGCATAATGCACTAACTTTCAGGGTGCAATGCACTAACTTTCAGTGCGTAATGCACTAGAACTTTCAGGGCGTAATGCACTAACTTTCAGGGTGTAATGCACTAGAACTTTCAGGGTGTAATGCACTAACTTTCAGGGTGTAATGCACTAGAACTTTCAGGGTGTAATGCACTAACTTTCAGGGCGTAATGCACTAACTTTCAGGGTGTAATGCACTAGAACTTTCAGGGCATAATGCACTAACTTTCAGGGTGCAATGCACTAACTTTCAGTGCGTAATGCACTAGAACTTTCAGGGCGTAATGCACTAACTTTCAGGGTGTAATGCACTAACTTTCAGGGCGTAATGCACTAACTTTCAGGGTGTAATGCACTAACTTTCAGGGCGTAATGCACTAACTTTCAGGGCGTAATGCCCTAGAACTTTCAGGGCGTAATGCACTAACTTTCAGGGTGTAATGCCCTATAACTTTCAGGGCGTAATGCACTAACTTTCAGGGCATAACGCACTAACTTTCAGGGCGTAATGCACTAACTTTCAGGGCGTAATGCACTAGAACTTTCAGGGCGTAATGCACTAACTTTCAGGGCGTAATGCACTAACTTTCAGGGTGTAATGCACTAGAACTTTCAGGGTGTAATGCACTAGAACTTTCAAGGCGTAATGCCCTAGAACTTTCAGGGCGTAATGCACTAGAACTTTCAGGGCGTAATGCACTAACTTTCAGGGCGTAATGCACTAGAACTTTCAGGGCGTAATGCACTAACTTTCAGGGCGTAATGCACTAACTTTCAGGGCATAATGCACTAGAACTTTCAGGGCGTAATGCACTAACTTTCAGGGCGTAATGCACTAACTTTCAGGGCGTAATGCACTAGAACTTTCAGGGCGTAATGCACTAACTTTCAGGGCGTAATGCACTAACTTTCAGGGTGTAATGCCCTAGAACTTTCAGGGCGTAATGCACTAACTTTCAGGGCGTAATGCACTAGAACTTTCAGGGTGTAATGCACTAACTTTCAGGGCGTAATGCACTAACTTTCAGGGTGTAATGCACTAACTTTCAGTGCGTAATGCACTAGAACTTTCAGGGTGTAATGCACTAACTTTCGGTGCGTAATGCACTAGAACTTTCAGGGTGTAATGCACTAACTTTCAGGGTGTAATGCACTAAACTTTCAGGGTGTAATGCACTAGAATTTTCACCTCTGGTTTGCTAGCCTACATGTCTCCACCCATATTGGAGAAGTGGTTGTGATTGTGTGTGTGTTTGAAAGAAGGCTTACATTGCACAGTGAACTCCTGGCAGGAATGTTATGCTTTGTGTCCAACTGCTACAGGGTCAGCAACACTTCATTGCGTGAACAGACCCTCGTTCACTGCTAGCTTTTAGCACAGCAGCATATGCTAACTAGGCTTATGTCACATGGTGTCAGCTACTATTGGATGTTGGTATCAGTGCATTTTTATAAGTACAAGTATATGAGCACAGTATCGGGCCAATATCCCCAATACAAGTATATGAGCACGATATTGGGCCAATATCCCCAATACAAGTATATGAGCACGGTATCTGGCAATATCCCCAGTACAAGTATGTGAGCGCGGTATCAGGCCAATACCCCCACTACAAGTATATGAGCACAGTATTAGGCCAGTACCCCCAATACAAGTATATGAGCACGGTATCTGGCAATATCCCCAGTACAAGTATGTGAGCACGGTATCAGGCCAATACCCCCAGTACAAGTATATGAACACGGTATCAGGCCAATACCCCCAGTTCAAGTATATGAGCACCGTATCTGGCAATACCCCCACTACAAGTATATGAGCACAGTATCAAGCCAATACCCCCAGTACAAGTATATGAGCACGGTATCTGGCAATATCCTCAATACAAGTATATGAGCACGGTCTCAGGCCAATACCCCCAATACAAGCATATGAGGACAGAATCAGGCCAATACTCCCAATAAAGGTATATAAGCACGGTATTGGGCCAATACCCCCAGTACAAGTATATGAGCATGGTATCGGGCCAATACTCCCAATACAAGTATGCGAGCATGGTATCGGGCCAATATCCCCAAAATACCAGTATGTGAGCATGGTATCGGGCCAATACTCCCAATACAAGTATGCGAGCATGGTATCGGGCCAATATCCCCAAAATACCAGTATGTGAGCATGGTATCGGGCCAATACCCCCAATACAAGTATATGAGCACGATATCAGGCCAATACTCCCATAACAAGTATATGAGCACGGCATCGGGCCAGTACCCCCAATACAAGTATATGAGGACAGTATCAGGCCAATACTCCCAATACAAGTATATGAGCATGATATCGGGCCAATACTCCCATAACAAGTATATGAGCACAGTATTGGGCCAATACCCCCAATACAAGCATATGAGCATGATATCGGGCCAATACTCCCATAACAAGTATATGAGCATGGTATCGGGCCAATACCCCCAGTACAAGTAAATGAGCATGAGCATGGTATCGGGCCAATACTCCCAATACAAGTATGTGAGCACAGTATCAGGCCAATACCCCCAATACAAGTATATGAGCACGGTATCGGGCCAATACCCCCAATACCAGTATCGGCATTGTTGCATCTGTAATAGTTACAGTAATATTGTGAAAAGAGCAGAGACAGAGGAGTATTTCTTTGTTTCTCACGGTCAGCAGAAGTAAACTGTAACGATAAGCAAGGTCACTGATCATGAGATATGATATCAGCACCTTTTGCCTTAGTGTAGAGCTTTTTCTGACTCATGCCACAGGCCGCATTCAGTTATGGCGTGTCATTTATTAAAAAAAAAACACACAGTGGTGAGCGTTCACAGCCGAAGGTCACACCGTGTCCTCTGTTCTCACCCAGGAACTTCTCCTATTTCAGCATGTGCTTTGTAATTGTTTGCTCAACAGGAAAAATGAATCAGAGGAGAAGGAAGTTCCAGCTGATGAAACTGTACGATGTTGAAGCTTTTAAAATCCCTCTGTGCTTTACTCTGACCTGTTGCTATTCTTCTGTTGGGATGCTCTGGAGCGGCTGGACACAGTGTATGAAATAAATTATTTGGGGGGGTCCCTTGTTGGTTCGCTAGTCCAGCATTGGCTGCTCAATCAGGACAATAAAGTTTCATTTTGATTTTGAGACATTCAGTGGGTCCAAGACATTAATTAACCCCCCAGGACCCCCTGTATTTTGCACATTGACTGCCTGTCAGCCGAAGGTCACCTTGCCCAGTGACAAGCATAGGCCTGATGGGTTTAAAGCCCCCCAGAATCCTCACAGCAATGTTCCCGCATCTAGTCTAAAGCCTTCCCAGAAGAGTAGAGGCTGAAACTGCAGCACAAACTCCCCAAAAGTCATTTTGTATGATGTCAAAATATGTGACACAATCCAGGAATCCACTGAACGTCCTGTTGCTTCACGCAGTTCTGAAGCTATTTTAATGGGACTCTTAAGAAGCAGGAAAAGAGAGAAGGACTGGAGACGGAGCTGGATTCAAAATGAGCTTAACATACTTAAACCTGCTCCTGGCAATTACAGGTAAACTGACTCCGATTTCCCTCTGACATCACTCCTCACTCTGGTGTACAGACCTGTTTGTTTAGCTTTTTTAATAAGAGTTTTTATGAATGGTGAGCAAACAGACACTGTTTCTGTACTGTATTTTAAATCGTCTGTTCAGCACATTTCTACATTCACTCTATGGTTAATAGCTGAAATATATTCTAATATATTGCAAAATAACCTGTTATAACCTTAATAATAAGACGTCTGTTATGTATTTCTTCAGGACTTTTGCAAGTGGTTATTGCAGGTGAGTTGATCTGTTTGTTATCTAGCTAGGTAGCTAACTAGCTTTCTATCTGTCTGTCTTTCTGTCTACCTATCTCTCTGTCTACCTATCTGTCTGCCTATCTATCCCTATCTGTTTGTCTGTCTGTCTGTTTATCTATCTATCTATCTATCTATACATATATATATCTATATCTATATCTATATCTATATATATATATGTCTATCTGTCTGTCTGCCTATCTGCCTATCTATCTGTCTATGTGTCTGTCTGCCTATCTATCCCTATCTCTCTGTCTGCTTACCTGTCTATCTGTCTGCCTGTCTGTCTATCTGTTTGTTTGCCTGTTTAACCCTGTTTGTCTGTCTGTCTGTCTGTCTATCTGTTTACATGTATATCTGTATTTCTTTGTTTCTGTCTGTCTGTGTTTCTGTCTGTCTATATGTATATATCTCTTTTTGTCTATATATCTGTCTGCCTGTCTATCTTTATCATTTGTCTGTCTATCTGTCTTTGCATGTCTGTCTTTCTCTCTGAATAACTTTCTTGTTGTCTGTCTGTCTGTCTGTCAGTCCATCCGTCCATCAGCTGAAGTTTGATCGACAGGCCGTATTAAAGCTCTTAAACAGAGTCAGGGTGGTGAGTGTGATGTGTGTTAGTCTGTGAGATCCTGAGCTCTGAGGTTAATCTGTGTGTGTGTGTGTGTGCGTGTGTGTGTGTGTGTGTGTGTTTTGTAGGTAAACCCCAGAAGGTGAAGATTTCCGGTCCTGAGGAGGTGATAGCTGGAGTGGACGCCCTGTACGAGTGCTCTGCTCTCTGCACGGGACTCTGTCATTACTCCTGGATCGTGGGAGGCCAAACTGTTGATGGAAGCACGTTTACTCTGACTACTAACGGCGAGAACACAGTCGTGTCGCTGACGTGCCTAGTGTCAGATGAAAAGCAAATGAACTTTGAGAGCACGGTCATATCAGTGACAGTGATAAGTAAGACACGCCTCCAGACTGGAGTCCTTTTATGGCCTTTAATTCAATTACACTGGCCCAAGAGCCGAGATAGACAACAATGAATTAGTCTATAGCTACTCTTACAGTGCGCTGCTGGCGTAGACTTATCCCAGTGATAGTGTCATTAAAACGACTAGGAAATCCACCGTCGGCCATTAAGTACAAGTTATTCATTTTACAGCATCAGGAAAAATTACACAGAAGCATCAGCAACTGAAAATGATATCAAGTGTTTCAGTGTTTATTGTGTCCACTCTTTACCTTTATTACAGCGTCCATTCTTTTCAAGAGGCTCACTTTCAGTTTCTCAGGTAAATCTGCAGACACGCCTCCAAAGTTCAGTCTTAGAAGCTGGTTGATCATTTTCTGAAGTAATCAAACACATTCAGTGGTGTAGAGGTCTGGACTCTGGGGTGGTCAGTCCATCGTTCAGCTTCTTTGTTTGATGTGTCCGTCTCCTTTTCTCAGTGAGGTTCTTCTTGATCAGCTACACATCCTTTCAGACCCACAGCGCTGAGTCGTCTTCTCACAGTGGAAGGATGGACAGAAACACCTGTGGATGTTTTCAGATCTGAAGCAGCTTGATTTTCTCCTCTCTCTCAGAGATGAAAGCTTTAAGTGCTGTTTATCTGATGGGGGCAGTTTTGGTGTCGACCAGGTCTTCCAGGTGGTTGTTAGGAGCCCCATTTTCTCTGTAGCTTAATCATTTTTTTCCTTATGCAGGCGGATTATTTTATATCTAATCTCAATAATATCTTGAATAACTTGTACTTAATGGCTGTATTTGATTGGACTGGTCTTTAATTTTTTTCACATTTATTCAAATAAGACATTTCAGTCCTTTTTTTCCCCTCTGCCTAACGCACAAAGCGAAGGCAGCGAGACAGTGACTTAACGCTCTATCCTCTTACAGATCCCATTTCTGTGAGGCCGTCAAAAGATCAGCCGGTGCTTAACCGGGAGCCTAAAGTGGGCCGCTCGTTCAAGCTGACGTGTGATGGCGCCACTCCACCAGTCACTATAATCTGGCTTAAGGGTTTTGAACTTCTTACCTTAAACTCCAGGATGAGTCTGTCCCCCGACAACACCACGCTGTCCTTTAGCAGCCTGGAGGCTAAGGACAGTGGTGAGTACAGGTGCAAAGTCCTTAATGGAAGTGCTGCTGTCATAAGCAAGGGCTACTGGATTTATTGTAAGTATGAAAAACAGCTACATGATATAGACAACAATACTACTATTGCCCCCTTTTACCCTGTTCTTCAGTGGTCAGGACCCCCATGGACCCTCACAGAGCAGGTACTCTTTAGGTGATGGATTATTCTCAGCACTGCAGTAACACTGACGTGGTGGTGGTGTGTTAGTGTGTGTTGTGCTGGTCTGAGTGGATCAGACACAGCAGTGCTGCTGGAGTTTTTAAACACTGTGTCCACTCACTGTCCACTCTATTAGACACTCCTACCTTGTCAGTCCACCTTGTAGATGTAAAGTCAGAGACGATAGCTCATCTGCTGCTGCACAGTTTGTGTTGGTCATCCTCTAGTCCTTCATCAGTGGTCACAGGACGCTGCCCACAGGACGCTGTTGGCTGGATATTTTTGGTTGGTGTACTATTCTCAGTCCAGCAGTGACACTGAGGTTGTTAGCGTGTGTTGCGCTGATCCACTCAGACCAGCGCATCACACTAACATACCACCACCACGTCAGTGTTACTGCAGTGCTGAGAATGATCCACCACCCAAATAGTACCTGCTCTGTGAGGGTCCATGGGGGTCCTGACCACTGAAGAACAGGGTAAAAGGGGCTAACAAAGTATCCAGAGAAACATTTATTTGTGATTGTTTTCTATACTATTATTTATTATAGATTTGATCATTTTAGTACTTATATTAAGTGAAATGATCTCACTGTATTGGCAGATCATTTTGCCTGTTTAATGCATATTTCTTCAAACAAGCAAAATTATCTGCCAATATAGTCAGATCATTTTACTTACAATAAACTATAATATGCCATATTATTGTACCACATATAGACTATATAATATGCTAGATAATTTACTATAAAAATAATGTAAAAATATTAATAACTTTAAATAATATTAACCAATAATATCATATATTTCAATCAAGTTAATGTTAAAATATTATTAACTAATAACATCATGTTTCTTCTCCCCCACTCATCACAGACAGCTTTATCCATCATGACTTCTCATTGACTTCTGATTGGTTAGAGGGCTCATTTGCATATTGCTCAGCTTTGTGTGATATCAGTACTGGAAAGGCCAGTATTGCTGTAATGGTTAACAGCCAGACTGAGGGTGTGAAGAAATAGCGTCATGCTGTGAAAGGTGTAACTGTTAGCAGAGGAAAAATGGACGTATTTAACACTATGATTAAAGGAACAATTTGGTCAGAAAATCTAATTTGCTCAGTTTTGCACTTACTTACTGTAATCGATCAGCCAAAACAGTTTTGGCATCCGAATTCCGTCTCTTTAGTTTTTGCACTAGAGCTATGAGGCTAAAACACTTGAAAGTCAGTAGTCACCCAAATCTTTTCTGTAAATACATCCCCAAAACGTTTCTCAGCTAAAATAATACTTTGGCAAAAATCTAATTTGCTAAATTTTCCGCTTACTCCAACTGCAATCGATAAGCCAAAACATGTTTAGTGTCCGAAATCTGTCTCTTTAGTTTTTGCACTAGAGCTATCGGGCTAAAACACGAAGTCAATAGTCACCCAAATCTTTTCTGTAAATACATCCCCAAAACTTTTCTCAACTGAAATAATACTTTGACAAAAAATCTAGTCTGCTCAGTTTTCCACTGACCCCAACTGCAATCGATCAGCCAAACTATGTCTGGTGTTTGTATTCTGTCTTTTTAGTTTTTGCACTGTTAAAACACTAGAAGTCAATAGTCACCCAAATGTTTTGTATAAATACATCCCCAAAACTTTTCTCAACTGTAATAATACTTTGCAAAAAATCTAATTTGCTCAATTTCTAAAATATTAAAATGAACAGAAGCCGCTTTTGTTGAATACCCAGCTCCTCTTTGTGTGATTACCTTTGCAGTTTCTGTTGTTTTCTATATAAATAACTGTTGATCTTTTTGTTTATTTTTATAGTTTACAGTAAGTCATATTGTGTCCAAAACTATATTAACAAGTCTTTGTTAATATGGATGTGGATTGAGAGAAGTTTTGAGGATGTATTTACAGAAGAGATTTCGGTGACTATTGACTTCTAGTGTTTGTTAGCAATGTTAGCCTCGTATCAAAATTTGGACACCAAACGTGTCTTGGCTGATTGATTTCATTTGGGGTAAGTGAAAAATTGTGCAGGTCTGGTTTATCGTCTCTGATACATCTTAATTCTTCTCATAAATGCGCGTGGCCTGTATTTTCTATCAGTGATGTTATTGTGCATTATCTTGAGCAGCATAGCCAAAGCTTTAAGCCTATCTATGTGCTAATGCTAACCATGATCTTCTCTCGCAGTTGGCTTTGTTCAAGTGGGCGTGACTGGGCCGAGAAGTGCTGAACTGGGCTTTGAGACTGAGTACACATGCAGTGCAGAGTGTGGGGTGGGCTGCACTGTACAGTGGGCGCTGCGTACCGGCTTTCCGAAGGGTAGATTCATCGCAGATGGACCAAAGATCCGCTGGACTCCCTCTGAACTCGGACAGACCCAGGTTTTCACCTGCCTTGCTCTTAACCCAGTAGCGGGCAAGCTTGGAGAGGTGTCCGTACCTGTGACTGTTATAGGTGAGTACAAGCTGAGACTGTCAGCGGGGGAAGCCGTTCACAGGTTTACAGCGCTCAGCATGGCAGCTGGATTACTGGAAGCCCTGCCCTTCAATAAAAAGAGCCAATCATCTTCTTGGTTGAGGCCTAAGCAGGAAGAAGCCAGGCTTATCACAGTGACCCCATCTTACCCGAGTCAGAGTACAAACGATAGAAACAGTCATAAAGGAGCCTGGTGTCCTCGGGCCTTTACCAGACATGCACATGCACAGTAGATATAACAACCTGAAAAATATGTTTTTAATGGAATTTGCCAAAAACGAACTACAAATTATGTGATTTTCACAGATTCAGTTTCAGGTAAACAGGCCTCTCTCTGTTCAATTAGACAGGAGCCTGAGCTTGTGTGGTTAGAAGTAACATGCCAGTGTCGCCACCTAGTGGACAGTAGAGGCTCATCTGTAAGAACTTTTAGGCCAGATAGCCAGAACACTGCTGCCACCTGGTGGTTAAGAGGACACATTGAACTGGCTACTTTATAGTCTAAGAGAGATTGTAACTGGTGAAGGGATTGTATATTGTGCAAACTGTATATAGTACATTGTGTAATCTGTGTATAGTATATTGTATAAAAATTAACATTTCAGAGCACAAAAAATTAACATTTTAGAACAGGTGTGAGGAAATGAGGACCTGACAGTGTTTTCTCTGCTCTAATCCAGCCAAACCTGGCAATTAACTGATAAATTGATACACGTGTGTTTGAGCAGGACAATCACCAGGCCTCCAGGACTCCAGGGTTTCCTAACCCCTGTTTTAGAGCTTGACCCTCCACTATTTCAGTGACCAAGCCTGAGGTTCTGACCTAAAATTATGCTGCCATCTTGTGGCGAGTTGCAGAAATGCAGAAATCCATTAAAGTGCTGGATACATTTAAACCACATTAGGCCCCACCGAACCTATCTATCTGTTTTGTAACTACTGTTTAAATAATATGTAAATGATGTAGACCACTACTTGATATCCAGGCTTATTACTGAGTTATTAATCTTAATCCTAATTATTATTCAGTAACTGCCATGAATTATTCAGTAACAAATCTACAAATTATTCAGTAACTACTAAAAATTATTCAGCAACTACAATTAATTTTCACATATGCATTATTAGTTATTCAGTATGTATTATGATTTATTCAATAACTACCATAATTATTCAGAATTTATTATGAAGTATTCAGTAGCTCCTATAAAATTATTCAGTGGCTAAAATACATTTTTCATATGTACTATTTATTATTCAATATATATTACAATTTCTTCAGTAACTACTATTAATTATTCAGTATATACTGGAAATGATTCAGTAACAAATATTTTTTTATTATCTACTGTTAACTATTCAATAATTACAATAAACCATTCAGTAAATACCATTTTATTATTAAATACTATAAATTAGTAAGTATCTATTATTAATTATTCAGGTAACTACTATTAATTATTCAGTAATTACTATAAATTATTCAATAAATACTATTAATTTTTCATTAAGTACTGTAAATTAGTCAGTATCTAATATTAATTATTCAGGTATCTACTATAACCTACTCTATATTTCTTGTAGTATCTAATAGAAATTATTTAGTAACTACTATGATTTATTCAGTAGCTGATATGAATTTTCAGTCACGGTTATGAAGTTGTGTATTTATGAAAGTGAAGCTGGAATCAGACTGTTGAGTAAAAGGTGAATGTTCCGTGTTTGTGTTTCGCAGAGGCGCGGCCACGCCCCAGCCCCAGCAATGCCATCTCTGCCAGGCCCAGTGTCGCCATGGTGATCAGTGCCACTCTACTGATGCTCGTTTCTGCTTTGGCCTGAGGGGGGAGCTCCAGAACCAGGCATCATAATAGTGCAGGGCATCACGATGCTACAGGGCTGCATCCTAGAGGAGTTACTCCAGTACAGAACGCGCCCCCTACTGTTCACCCAAAAATCCTCAAAGCCTGCATGTTTATTTCTGCTCTAAGAGGTGCAGAAAGAAATAAAGACCCCAGAAGTCCTTTTAATCCAGAGCGACCCCCTACAAATGAGAAGACTGCCTGTCCTGTTATGTTTTATTTTGTTGTAAGCTTGACAAATGTCTGGCCTTACTTTACTGTACATGGAGAACACCTCAGTGACCTTTTCAAAGGGTCAGAAATCAGCTGGTGATCAGTGATCTGTCCCCAAACTATAGAATGTCTTTCTCCAAAACTATGCAAACCTTTAATTCTTCAAAACTTAGAACATCTTTCATCAAACTAGTGCAAAAAAGTGATGCAAACAGTTCAGAACTCCTACATTTGCAAATTATGCCATTTTCTTTATTCACAATTTCTACACTCTTAAAAAAGACTTCTTCAGTAAAGATGGTGGTTCTATTTAGAACCATGGACATCTAAAGAACCCTATGATTTAAGGATTCTTTGCATCGTGACAAGGTTCTTCAGACTGAAGGAGAATGTGCTGTAGATGGTTCTGTATAGAACCTTTTTGGAAAGGGTCCTATAAAGCACCAGAAAGGGTTTCTTCTATTGTTACAAGATTGACATCACAACAACGTTTGGTGCTACATAGAACTCTTTTCAAAAAGGTTCTATATAGAACCAGCTACAGCACATTCTCCGTCAATCTGAGGAACCTTGTCATGATGCAAAGAACCCTTTGTATAATATAAGGGTCCATGGTTCTATATAGAACAATTTTCTTTAGTAAAGAACCCTTGAAGAAGCATCTTTTTTAGGGGTAGGGTTGAAGGAGTATGCCAACCAAAATGAAAAATGTAGCCACAGCTATATCCGTTGTAATCACGCCCCCTCGCCTCACACGTGATCACATGGTGGTCCCGAGAGTGAGATTTTCTGGTTTGAAGATTACAAAACCCCCTTCTGATGATGTAAGATGAAGGTGGGAGAAACTTTTGAAAAGCTACAAGATACTCAAAGGTGGGCTGTTTGGAATGTGTTTAGATTTGTTTCTGCTAGCTGGCTAATGCAGAATGTCTATCTTCTTTACCCTCAACATCAGTGCATCATGCACTGAGAGAATTCACAGTAGATATATAACGTATTTGCACAAGGCATGCTGGGTGTTGTAGTCCGAGAACATTAATTGTGCTAGTTTCAGGCCTGTGGCTTCTTTATTATTAGCATAATCGTTGCTGTCGGAAAAAAACCTCGTATCTCCAAAACGGTAACTTTACAGGAGAAGGAAAAAACATACTTTACTTTTAATGTAAGTCAATGGAACCAAACTTTCTTCCAAGTCATTTTGGGCCGTTTCTTTTGGTCCATTCATCATGAAATTTACATACAATGTAAAGAGCAACAGGCATTTTCAAATTATGGCAAAAACTGAAAATCGACAAAAATGGAGATACAAGCTTTTATTCTGACAATAGCGATAAATTAGATCACAAACACTTAAAAAACATTTAGAAAACGGCAACAGTGACCTGTTTCTTGCCAAATAGTGAGCCCACATTCATCTTCACTGTTTGCTGGCTACTGATCTTTTCTTCTCTATCATTATACCTGTCAGCTTCATCAGATATATATATATATATATATATATATATATATATATATATATATATATATATATACACATCTTTTTTAAGTGTTATAACTGTTGTTATTATTGATTTTAAAATGTTTATCACCTTTATTAATTTATTAAGCTATTAATACTCTAAATTTAAACCATACACAAAAAGTCATTGTTGTATTGTAAAGCGGTGTCCAAATAACATGTTTTTAGGTTATTATTCTTTTGTGTCCGAAATGTATTTTTCCATTTTGTTATATTGTCTGTTTTTAATGTTGTAATGTGGCACTGGATCTGAGAAAGGTGCTATATTAAGAAAGTATTTTCATTATTTTTATTATTATTATTATTATTATTAGTAGTAGTAGTAGTAGTAGTATTAGGGGTCCAAGCAATTAGTCTTGTTTCTTTATTATAAATATTATTAATTCGAATACATTTATCGTCCAACACAAGCTCCCAGATCAGCACACCTCTAACTCATGCTCTAATCTTGTGGTCTAAATGTAAATACGACGTGTTGGAAAATTCCACGCTGTTCAGTAAAATGTTCAATGTGAGCCCTTCCCCTGGCGGGGCTTTTATCAGAGAGCACGCCGTGACACTGTTTGCTCTCCACTCCTTCTGATGATAATACTGTCTCTCTCTTTGGGTCCCTCTATTCACCAAGACTTTTTGATCCACATGAAGGCAGACAGACACACCGTGTCCCAACAGCAGTAAAACTGAGCCTCTTGCTAAATGTGTGCAGGTTTGGGAAATGTACACACAGCGGTTAATCATTTACTGTTACACAGCATACGTAACTCACTCTCATGATGTCATTTCAGTGTTTCTGTCATATCAGTTCAGTTCGTATCACTTTGATGTATTAAACAGAAAGAAAAGCTAAAGCAGAGTGCAGTAATAAGAACAGCCTTTCAGTGAATGAATAAAAATGTGTACATGTCTTCTTTTAAATTGTGCTGAGGGGCTCTGTGTGCACTGTCAACAACATTTGACTAACAAAAGAAGCTGCAGGCAGGTAGAGCTATCCTTCAGATAAACACCAGTACAGGACCATCTCAATGAGGAACACACACTGCAGTGTAATGTAAACATCGTCTTTTCTAGTTTCATCTGCAGGGGGATTTCTTCCTTTAAACAAGTCAGTAACATGTTACTTGAACCCTGCTATGTGACAGCATAGCATAATATATATGTAAAATACATATACATATATATATATATATATATATATATATATATATATATATATATATATGTATATGTATATATATATTATGCTATGCTGTCACATAGCAGGGTTCAAGTAACATGTTACTGACTTATATATATATAAACATGCTTTACTTTTAATGTAAGTCAATGGAACCAGACTTTTTTCCAGGTCATTTTGGGTCATTTCTTTTGGTCTATTCATCATGAATGTACCTACGATGTAAAAGGGCAACACATATTTTCAAATTATGTTAAAATAATGAATTATTGAATTATGTTAAAATAATCCTGCATTCCAAACCACAATCATTCAATATTTCTGTTCATTTTGTTCAAAGTAGAATCCTATATATATTCACGAGTTACAGCAGATGATGCTGTATAAAGTTGGGTGATATTGTGATAATATTTCAATGGATTCCACTCTCTACTGTAGTAGATATTAAAATTAGGTATGTGAAATCTGCAAGATTTTGGAAAATAAGCATATTTTTTCCCATCAGAATAACAAGCCCAAACGAAAAATCGACATTTTGTGTAATTCAGAAATGTTATTTCTGAAACACAGACACTGTTTATGACACTGAACTTGTATATAAAACTTTCTGGCAACTCTGGCAGCCTGGCTGCTGGGCTTTAGTAATTTAGGGCCTCGCATGCCTTTAAAGAGGGGAGATGACAATGATTTATTATCGCCCACCCCTAATTCTTCAGGGATATGAAGCTGAAGATTGTTGTACAAATTTAACCATTCCACCTTAAATGGCTTGCTACTGAGACATCAGCAAACTACTAGCGATTTTTTATGCTTGTTATGAAGAAAATGACCATAATACATAAAATACAACATTAAACTAGATAATAAATCTAGATAATAAAAGATAATACAGTAGTTATTGTAATTTTTTAATTCTCACATTTGTGGGTTTCTTTGGTCTCTTGTTCAGCCATCTTGCTGGTTTTTCTTTTTTTTCTTATAACACTCTGTTTGGCTAGTCGCTCTGAAAAACCTCCGTTTGGAGGGTCATGTAGTCCTAACACTTCACCCCACCCCTCTATCTTAAATCAGGACACCCTACCCCCTAGACGTGAACGCACAAAACGGAGGGCTAAGTGGTAGGGGTGAGGGGTGAAATGGGATTGGGCCAAAATCAGAAGACTCGTGTTGGTTGGTTTTGGTGGTTTTGAATAGTAAATAAAATGTCTATATTTTTGTTGTAGTCATGGCGACCCCTGGCTCCTATCAGCACCACTGTAAAGAAAGCTGAACTATTTCACACCAAACCACCCTAAATGACTCCATTTATATCTCAACCACTGAATTAGGTACACGTTTTTGAAAAATCAGTGGATTTCCCCTTTCAGATATGGACAGTGGTGAGTTTACTTTAGTTCACTTACAGCTGAACCCATATTGTGTATTGGTATGTAGTTTTTTATTGCCTGGGTTCAAATTAGCTGGACATTAAGGTACATTAGCAGTGCCATTTTTCAGGCCTCCGTCTGCTCGGATTGACAGCTGAGGAGAAAAATTGTTGTAAAAATTCCGCAACTGTCACAGAATATTACATCAGCCAGGAAAGATGAGTGAGTGAGTCAGTCTTTGCAAACTCTGGAGACTTTAAGCAAACTATTGCATAATGGTTCAAGCCATCATTACAAATAGCAACTGGCTGCCTAGTTTATGAGCAGTACGTGCTGTGTACAGTACTGTGCAAAAGTCTGAGACCCCTTTATTTATTTAATTTCCGGACAAAGCGGCCATTAAGTACAAGTTATTCATTTTCAGGAGATGTTTCTGAGGAGATATTCGAGGTCACTGAATGTGTTTGGGATTACTTGCATTGTGAGAAGCAGAAAATGTAACCGACTTCCAAGACTGAACTTTGGAGATCCCTGTAGATTTCTTTCAAAAGCTGAAAGTATGGAAGCTGTAATAAAGGTAAAGAGTGGACACACTGAATAGTGGCGAAAATATCATATATCATACAGTCGTGTGCAAAAGTTTAGGCACTCCTGAATGACATTTAGTTGATTTTCTAAGTGTAGATAAGTGAACACATTCTCTACAGAGAAGACATTTCTGCACATTTTAACACACAGTTAGTGTTCATTTGCTAAATTGAACATATTGGATGGAAAAAAAAACTTAAAATGTGGCCTGTGCAAAAGAACATATCTCATATCTCATCTTCACTTAGTGTTTATGTATAGACTTAAAAAAAATTTATAGTAAAATGATGGTAAATTACTTGTATTGTAATATGCTGTACCATTTTAACAAAAAAATTACAGTAAAATAACGGCATACTATGACTCCACCTGCACCACAAGATTACTGTGATGTAACTTGATTCTGCTGTAAACTTACAGTAATTTTCTGTAATTAAAATATGGTATTCCCCTGTATTTTTATATTTGCGACTTTTTACGTAACTGTAAAAGTAACGCGACTCAATAACCAGTTAATTTACTGCAAACTTAAATACAATAGAATGACTTGAAAAATGTGCATAAGATTTAGTTTAAAGTAAAAGATAAAACATCGACTGAAATAAAATTAAAAACAAAATCAAAGTACAGATTTAATCATGTTTTGGACAAAGTTTAGGCGCCCCTGGTCAAATGATGTTTTGTTTATTTTATAAGTGAAAATAAGTTAACACACCCGTTTAAATAATGACACTT